TCAACGTGTGACTGTTGTTGTCGTACGTCGTGTGATTTCTTTAATATTTTATCCATACTAACTATGTCGGGCAAAAGAAGAAAGTGGTCGGACGAATATGTACAACATGGATTCTCATGTATCACGGAACGTGATGGGAGTGAGCGTCCTATCTGCATGATTTGCAACGCCAAGTTGAGCAACTCTAGTCTTGCACCGGCAAAACTAAAGGAACACTTCTTGAAGCTGCATGGAGACGGGGAATACAAGAACACAACACTTGCTGAATTCAGGGTGAAGAGAGCCAGATTCGATGAAAGGGCCACTCTGCCTGCTCTTGGATTTGTACCTGTTAACAAACCGATCCTGACAGCATCGTACGAAGTTGCTTACCTGATCGCAAAGCAGGGCAAGCCACACACCATTGGTGAAACACTTGTGAAACCAGCTGCATTAAAGATGGCGAATCTGATACTCAGAACAGCGGCCGAAGGTAAATTATCCCAAATTCCCCTTTCAAATGACACCGTCAGTGACAGAATAGAAGACATGAGTAAAGACATCTTGGCTCAAGTAGTCGCGGATCTGATTTCAAGCCCGGCAAAATTCAGCCTTCAACTCGACGAAACCACAGACGTTTCTGATCTAAGCCAGCTTGCTGTTTTTGTACGCTATGTGAAAGATGACATGATAAAAGAAGAGTTTTTATTTTGTAAGCCTCTTACAACAACAACGAAGGCAGCCGATGTGAAGAAGCTTGTGGATGACTTCTTCAGAGACAACAATCTTTCATGGGATATGGTTTCTGCAGTTTGTACGGACGGAGCTCCAGTCATGCTGGGAAGAAAGTCTGGTTTTGGTGCGCTAGTAAAGGCCGATGCACCACACATCATTGTGACGCATTGTATTCTGCACAGGCATGCGTTGGCAACAAAAACCTTACCTCCAAAAATGGCAGAAGTATTAAAAACTGTGGTGGAATGTGTGAACTATGTGCGAAAAAGTGCTCTGAGGCACCGCATCTTCAGTGAGCTGTGTAAAGAAATGGGCTCTGAATTTGAGGTACTTCTGCTCCATTCTAATATTCGGTGGTTATCCCGGGGACAGGTGCTGAATCGTGTTTTTGCCATGCGTGTGGAATTAGCCCTGTTTTTGCAAGAGCACCAACACTGCCATGCAGATTGCTTCAAAAATCCTGAGTTCATTCTCATTTTAGCGTACATGGCTGATATATTCGCAGCTCTCAATCATCTCAATCAGCAGATGCAGGGTGGTGGAGTCAATATCATGGAAGCGGAAGAACACCTGAAGGCTTTTCAAAAAAAGCTAACGTTATGGAAACGACGAACAGAGAACAATAACTTCGCAAACTTCCCGCTTCTGGACGACTGTGCAAGTAAGATCGAAGATGTGTCTGGAATCGGATATATTTCTGTATCCACGGAACTGAAGCAAACAATTGCCACGCACTTAGATGAGCTTGCAAAGTCTCTCGACGGATATTTCCCTACAAGAGAGTCATATCCAGCATGGGTGAGACAGCCGTTCACGTTTGCTGTTGAAACAGCAGATGTCAATGATGAATTCCTCGACGAAATCATTGAAATTCAGCAGAGCCAGGTTCAACAGCAACTCTTCAGAACAACAACGCTCTCAACGTTTTGGTGTCGACAAATGAACAAGTATCCAGTTATTGCTAAGAAAGCCCTGGATTTTTTTATACCATTTGTTACAACATATCTTTGTGAGCAATCCTTTTCGAGGATGCTGGACATAAAAACGAAGAAAAGGAACAGACTTTGCTGTGAAAATGACATGAGAGTGGCACTTGCCAAGGTGAAGCCACGCATATCTGAACTGATCTCTCAAAGGCAACAGCAGAAGTCACATTGATTTCCAGGTATGTAATTTGTTGTGAGTTCATGCATTGTGTTGGTTTTATTCTTTGAACAAGGTAATGTTCATGCACGGCTCATTTTGTGTACCAGTAAAAAAACATATCTATGTCTTGAATTTGAAAAAAATCACATTTTATTTTTCACTAAAGAGGGGTTCGGTGAATGCGCATATGAAACTGGTGGGGTTCGGTACCTCCAACAAGGTTAAGAACCACTGCTCTAAACGCATGTTTCCAAATAGGGAGGGAAAAAACCAGAGGTACAGGAAAATCATTCACGGGACCACAGGGACTACACGCAAACTCCAAATATACAGCAGGCGTCACGGTCGGGATCGAACCCAAGACCTCCTGAATAGCAGGCGAGGTAGTTGACATCTCTAATAATCTATGGCATAAAATGTTGTCCCCTCACACCATTGGGTTTTCTCTGGGTGCTTTGATTTTCCTCCCACAGGTATAAACACTCATGAGTCGACTGAAAACATCTTATTATTGGTCGAGCCAGCTCACCACCTGGGTGCATTCCACCATTGCCTGTGGTTCCTCAGCTATTGTGAGATGTCATTTTCAGGGACGACACAATATACAATCATAAACATTAATTGTACCACCCGATAAATTATTCACTCTCCAGCGGTGACACTGTCCCGAGCTCTGGCAAAAGGCCACATCGATGGATTAATATTTCATGACACATGGCAGGAACTTTGTGAGGCCAATTGCCTGCCACACTTAACTCGATTTCCTATTCCTTGGCCCTTGCTCGGTAAACCTTGACGGCTTACGTCCCAAGGAGCAAGCGCCTGTCTGCACACCAACCACACCGAGGCATGCCAAGTGGAAAGCACACACAGTGGTTGTGCACGCAAATAACATTTCAGATATGAAACGATCCACTGTTAACACTCGTGCTGCAAGCTCAGGTGAAACGTAAAACGAGAATGAGAGACTGGATGACAGTAGACTCGCATCACCTCTGCCTGTTCGTCCACTTTGAAGTTGGAAGTGGGAAGTTCACTCGGTACTTCTGCACTAAAGCCATACAGTGAGGGAAAAAGTATTTGATCCCCTGCTGATTTTGTACGTTTGCCTACTGACAAAGAAATGATCAGTCTATAATTTTAATGATAGGTTTGTTTGAACAGTGAGAGACAGAAAAACAACAAAATCCAGAAAAACGCATGTCAAAAATGTTATAAATTGATTTGCATTTTAATGAGGGAAAAAAGTATTTGACCCCCTCTCAATCAGAAAGATTTCTGGCTCCCAGGTGTATTTTATACAGGTAACGAGCTGAGATTAGGAGCACACTCTTAAAGGGAGTGCTCCTAATCTCAGCATGTTACCTGTATAAAAGACACCTGTCCACAGAAGCAATCAATCAGATTCCAAACTTTCCACCATGGCAAAGACCAAAGAGCTCTCCAAGGATGTCAGGGACAAGATTGTAGACCTACACAAGGCTGGAATGGGCTACAAGACCATTGCCAAGCAGCTTGGTGAGAAGGTACCAACAGTTGGTGCGATTATTCGCAAATGGAAGAAACACAAAAGAACTGTCAATCTCCCTCGGCCTGGGGCTCCATACAAGATCTCACCTCGTGGAGTTGCAATGATCATGAGAACGGTGAGGAATCAGCCCAGAACTACACGGGAGGATCTTGTCAATGATCTCAAGGCAGCTGGGACCATAATCACCAAGAAAACAATTGGTAACACACTACACCGTGAAGGACTGAAATCCTGCAGCGCCCGCAAGGTCCCCCTGCTCAGGAAAGCACATATACATGCCCGTCTGAAGTTTGCCAATGAACATCTGAATGATTCAGAGGACAACTGGGTGAAAGTGTTGTGGTCAGATGAGACCAAAATGGAGCTCTTTGGCATCAACTCAACTCGCCGTGTTTGGAGGAGGAGGAATGCTGCCTATGACCCCAAGAACACCATCCCCACCGTCAAACATGGAGGTGAAAACATTATGCTTTGGGGGTGTTTTTCTGCTAAGGGGACAGGACAACTTCACCGCATCAAAGGGACGATGAACAGGGCTATGTACCATCAAATCTTGGGTGAGAACCTCCTTCCCTCAGCCAGGGCATTTAAAATGGGTCGTGGATTGGTATTCCAGCATGACAATGACCCAAAACACACGGCCAAGGCAACAAAGGAGTGGCTCAAGAAGAAGCACATTAAGGTCCTGGAGTGGCCTAGCCAGTCTCCAGACCTTAATCCGATAGAAAATCTGTGGAGGGAGCTGAAGGTTCGAGTTGCCAAACGTCAACCTCGAAACCTTAATGACTTGGAGAAGATCTGCATAGAGGAGTGGGACGAAATCCTTCCTGAGATGTGTGCAAACTTGGTGGCCAACTACAAGAAACGTCTGACCTCTGTGATTGCCAACTAGGATTTTGCCACCAAGTACCAAGTCATGTTTTGCAGAGGGGTCAAATACTTATTTCCCTCATTAAAATGCAAATCAATTTATTACATTTTTGACATGCGTTTTTCTGGATTTTGTGTTGTTATTCTGTCTCTCACTGTTCAAATAAACCTACCATTAAAATTATAGACTGATCATTTCTTTGTCAGTGGGCAAACGTACAAAATCAGCAGGGGATCAAATACTTTTTTCCCTCACTGTAATGCATCGCTTTTGACCAAAATAAGTTAGGAGAGTGCCCTATATGTAACAATGTGAGGACGTTGCAATGTAGAACGACGGCCAAGGTCATTCTCAGTCTGCCCAGCTCATCCCTTGTAGGAATTTATTTCCCCTCCCCGCCCAAGAACACAGGAACACTCTTTTGCTCGGCATCACTTGCGTGGGGGTGCAGGGTGGTCGTCGCAAACGCAACAGCTCGTGCTCGACGAAACGGAATGAATCAGATGCCACACTTGCAAAATGAGAATAACCCAATTTTTTTTTTAAACCCTGTAAAGCAATAGGACTTTGCGTGGCTCTTATGCGCGCAGAAAACTAAGACAATACGGGGGACATTGCATGGGTGAGCTTCTGAAAATGCCAGGCAATTGAAGCAGAAAGCATGAAATCAAGAGATTTGGGTGGGTGGGTGGGTGGGCACGCGTCGGATTAGGGCTGCTGAGCGGAATATAAAGGGTAAGCCTTCCAGCGGGACAGCTCCGGGGTTCCTTCTCTGCCTTCCGCTGCTGCCCATCGCCGTCTTCTCGCGCGCCAACTCGCCCGCCAACTCGCCCGCCTCTCCCGCCAAAGCCAAAACAACCGATCGCCCACCTACCGCCCCCACCCCGACCATCCTTCAGAGCAACAGCCATGTCCGCCAGCATCAAAGTGTCGACCACCAAGAGGACGTCCACCCGCAGCAGCGCGGGGGGCCCTAGCGTCGTCAGCGGCGGCTTCAGCAGCCGCTCGTTCGGCGGCGGCGTGGGGGGCAGCCGCTTCGGCGCGGGGGGAGGCTCCGCGTTCAGCCGCCGCAGCACGGCGCTCGGCGGCTCGTCGTACCGGGCCGGCTCGGCCGCCTCCAGCTTCGGCTACGGCAGCGGCAGCGGCGGCTACGGCTACGGCGTGGGCGGAGCGGGCGCGGCGATTTCGGCCGCGGCGCTGGCCTCCGCGGCCCCCGTGGACATCGACCGCTCGGTGCTGCCCACGCGCACCCAGGAGAAGGAGGCCATCAAGCACCTCAACGACCGCTTCGCCAACTTCATCGACAAGGGGGGGGGGGGGGGCGGTGTTTTGTCTCCTCGAGCCCCCCGATCGTCATCGGGAGTCAACCATCGCTGGGGCTAAACCCTTCAACGGTGGCAGCTGCTGCGGGCATTGCTCGAAAGTCTAGAAATGGTAACGTGTGGAATAGCGGCCTTGGCTGCACGCAGAGCTACACGTGTTAGGATGTCCCTCTGATAAACTCTACGTGCAGCTCAATGTATGTATGTTGAACTTCTTTCGCACCATACGTAGCCAACCATGCTAATCGGAGGTGCAGGGGAAGGACAACAAAATAAACACGAAAAGCAGTTCAATCTTGTTATGCAGGGTAGTGACACACCATTGGCCTGGAGAAACCTACTGAGCCCTTAATCAGTCATTTATCCTGCACGGTATCTATGCTGCTGAATGCACCATCCCCTGAAAGGCTTTCGTGCTCCCAGACCCATGGGTTGGCAACAGCTGATGTGCGGCATGAGAGGTGCGGTTTCATAATAAAGGATGATGGGGATGGTGATGATGATAGTGAAATGATGACATGGTTGAACAAATGCAGGATGTTCACTGCACATAGCTTCTGGTAGTCAATGCAATGAGGCCTCGTGGCGGTAGTTGTTATGCCAAAATCCTTGTCGTGAAACCGTCCACCACCCAACAAGATTGCCACATTTACAAACATTATTTATTCGGGCTCCTTCTCACTGGTGTTTTCTTATCGAGAAAAGAGAGTGATGTTTCGACCTCTCATGAAAATGTTAAGCCACAATTGTGGAGCGTTTTTATTGGTCAGAATTTGATTGAAACATTGGCCACACACATGAATAATATTTTTGTAAACGTGACAGTTTCATCACGTGGTGGATGGTTAATACCAAACATTCTGGCATGAAAACTGCCACCACGTGGTTCTAACACCAAAAACAAATATGGATCAGAGTTCAATGGGTTTTTTAAACCGTGATATGGATGGATACGAAATGTAACTGCTGTCGCAAATGTAATTAAATTGCACTTTTTTTTCAATCAAGCCAGCTTACATTGGGCAACGTTACAGCACCGTAAATAGCGTGCCTTAAAACGTAATACATTTTAATGTTTTTTTGGGCGGCATGATGATGAAACAATTTATTTTTTATCGTAGCTCGAACTACTTTGCCACTCGCGAGTTAATGCCAAACCCGGATTGGATTTACATCGGTCGGCCCCCGCTCGAGCCAATCCCCCCCCCCACCCCCCCTCCGATTTCCTGAGCCCACTTTGCCTCTTCCTTCGTGTTCACGTTGTTTCAGGTGCGCTTCCTGGAGCAGCAGAACAAGGTGCTGGAGGCACAGTGGTACGCGCTGCAGGAGAAGACCACGACCGGCTCCAGCGTCGACGAGATGTTCGAGGCCTACATCAACGGGCTCCGGAGGCAGCTCGACGGCCTGGGCCACGAGAACGGCCGGGCGAACGGAGACCTGGGCCAGATGCAGGCCGTCGTGGAGGACTTCAGGGCCAAGTAGGTGGCAGCACTGCCATGCGGACCGACCAAACATCGTTGAGGTGTGAAGAGTGGTTACCTTTGCATGCAGGCAGGTGTTCCGAGTTGATATTTAAGCACAAAGCCCATATACTGTGTATCTCCCCACTTAGTTGATTGAATAGTTAATGTTAATTACTTATTTAAAACAGGCGAGACGCCACAGAGTCACACGGCTCCTCGTGTGGAAGGGAAATCGTGTGTTGGATGGCCTCATTCTGTAAAAGCCAGGGGCAGTGGTGGATATGCACGCCTGGCATCCGCCGCTTTGGAGGCTAGGGTTGGTGGATCACAGAGATTTGCAAAACTCCCAACCTACCAGGCCTGAAATATGGTCAGAGAGATAGTGTCGGTTTTTTGTAGGTGCTCCGGTTTACTCCCACATGCAACACACTCATTAAATAATTATCAAAAAAATCGCAATGCAAGACACCCATAATATATTGTGTCTTGCCAATCTGTGAGGCTTCTCTGAGTAAAGAAACACGTGACATTGTTGTCTCTAAGAGTGCTGCAGTTATTGTACCAGGTGTAGCGAGCTGTTATTTAGGTGTCAAATTTCATTTCATGTTTGGGCATTGATCCAATTACATAGGCTGGGCACTTCACAAAATTCACATCAGCCAAGCTATAGGCAGTAAACGTAATATTATGCTAATTTCGCTTCGGTGTCGGTCATCTATTTAAAAAAAATATGTGAGGAAACCCCCAAAACAAGACTCCTCTTTCATTGCCGTTTCAAAAGCAACACTGAGCAGTCACAAAAATGAAATGAAATCTGCAGGGTGTCTTCTGTACTAAGGAGCCCCTTTCCACAGGTACGAGGCTGAAATCTCCCTGCGCACGGAGAGAGAGGACGAGTTTGTCTTTGCCAAAAAGGTGAGTGTGATCAAAGCCCACGGTGTTTTTGGTGCTATAAAAATCCATGGTGTTTTTGGTGCTATAAAAACCCATGGTGTTTTTGGTGCTATAAAAACCCATGGTGTTTTTGGTGCTATAAAAACCCATGGTGTTTTTGGTGCTATAAAAACCCATGGTGTTTTTGGTGCTATAAAAACCCATGGTGTTTTTGGTGCTATAAAAACCCATGGTGTTTTTGGTGCTATAAAACCCCACGGTGTTTTTGGTGCTATAAAAAACCCATGGTGTTTTTGGTGCTATAAAAACCCATGGTGTTTTTGGTGCTATAAAAACCCATGGTGTTTTTGGTGCTATAAAAACCCATGGTGTTTTTGGTGCTATAAAAACCCATGGTGTTTTTGGTGCTATAAAAACCCATGGTGTTTTTGGTGCTATAAAAACCCACGGTGTTTTTGGTGCTATAAAAACCCACGGTGTTTTTGGTGCTATAAAAACCCACGGTGTTTTTGGTGCTATAAAAACCCTTGGTGTTTTTAGTGCTATAAAAGTCCATGGTGTTTTTGGTGCTATAAAAAGCCACGGTGTTTTTGGTGCTATAAAAACCCACGGTGTTTTTGGTGCTATAAAAACCCTGAGGGGTGAGTTGAGTTGATCCCCGACCAGGATTCTAACTCTTAATCTTCCGATTAATCACTCACCACTAGCCATTAGCTATCTCACCACTAAATAATATATATAAATTATTTACAAACGCCTGTGATTAGCCTTTTTTTTACATCGTTGTTGATTTATATGTAAGTGCTGTTCATTGTTTATCCTATTTGCAGTCAGTTCTGGCGTGGGATTCATGTCAATAATTTGTGGCTGTCTTTGCTCTTGTTAGTTTTGCACATTCCCTCTACCCTGCAGAGTCCTGTAACTGCCACCACTGCCATTGGTCTTGGGCTGTGATCGTCCTTGTAAAAGAGATGCGGAGCTCAATGGGCTTCCCCAGCTGAGATAAAATCCGAGTCCGACATATCAACCTTTAAGAAGCCACTGCCACGCCACGCATTCTCCACTCTCTGCAGGACGTGGACGGGGCCTACCTGTCTAAGGTGGAGCTCGAAGCCAAACTCGACGGGCTCCAAGAGGACATAAATTTCATGCGATCCATTTTTGCCCAGGTAAAAACGAAACGTACCATCGTTGGTGTGGGTTGCAAGGGCCACGGTGCAAGCCATGAACTAAATCCGGTTTTTTTCGTTGTAGATATGGGAACTTGAGTGAAAGCCACACTACTGTCTGACCTGACACTCGAACTATTATCCCAGGAATTGCTAAACAGAACTGTATGGGAACAAGTACTACATATGGACTGAAATAATTAAACATAGGTCTTTGAAACTGTAATCATCGTCATCAACATCCTTCCTCTGCTACAATGTCATCGGGTCGTCGGTGTACAAATCTTCCTGTCAGTCTTATTTTTTCGTATGGTTGATGTACATGCAGAGCAGCAACTATCATTTCACTTTCAGGTGGTCAAGCCAGGCAACTGAGTCAGGAGCAGCGGAGTAGTATCCCTGTGATGTCTCCTTCGTATTTGTGGATCGGGCATTGCGTCTTTAGACGTTGTATGGTCTGTTCTGGATGGCCAAAGTTGCACACTGGAAAATGTTTTTAAAAAATTACATTTTACATTTGTATCCGCATCTGCCTTGGTTTGCGCAGATGCGGTTTAGGGTGAACCATAAGCTTCGTGGAAGATCAAAACCAGGGATATTCCTGTCAGTGTATCCTCCCGTCTCTCCTCCTCCATCACGCTCCAGTCCTCAGCACTATCTTCCAGATCCTTCCTTGACATTTCACCTCGTAATATTCTCGCACCAGCCCCTCGGTATTCTCCCCCCCCCCCCATTTTTCTATTTTCATCCAACTCCTTTATTTGGCTACTGTTTTCCTTTCCTCTCATCTGCCTATTACATTTCGACCTTGCTCTCCTTCTTTCATTCGATAACTTCATCTTCCTTTAGCATGAACATCTCTGGGCGACTGTAAGGAGGGTAGAGATCATGGGGTCGTCTGTTTTCACTTGATCGAGTGAGTGTTAGCACACTTTTTTGAAACTCATCAATCTCAGCAATGCTTACAATCTCATCAATTCATGTCTGTTTGCCATACATTTGAACGAAATTTTCCTGTCTACTTTCTACTTATTCGCTACTATAGCAATCCTCCACCACAGCACACAGTTCGCTTCCACACGAGCGAAAGATCACGCGTGCAAACGCGCGAGCTTTTAAATCTACATTGAAAGCTCATTTCTTTGGAACTGCTTTTTGCGTTTGATTTTTGTCCTCCCACACCGGTTAGCACGGTTGGCTACGTACAGAGCGATAGAAGTTCAACATACACGTACATACGTACAGCTCCGTGGGTTTCACCTAGTAAATGAAATAGTGACAAAAAAATAAGCAAGTGCCATTCTTTTTACCGACCTTCGGCAGGAGCTCAGCGAGCTGGAGGCCCAGATCAAGCACACCAACGTGCTGGTGGAGATCGACAACAGCCGCAACCTGGACGTTGACGGTATCATCGCCGACGTGCGTCACCAGTACGAGACCATCGCGGCGCGGAGCCGGGCCGAGGCGGACGCCTTCTACCAGGACAAGGTGGGGCAGCATGGTGCTGTTACAGCTGCCTCTCTCTGTCCTCCTGTCCCTCTTTGTGTCTCTCTCTCTCTCTCTGTCCATCTCTCTCTCTCTTTGTGTCCATCTCTCCATCTCTCTATGTCTCTCTCTGTCTCTCTCCCCGTTCCTCTTACCCCTTTTCCTCTGGCACATTCGAAGAGGAGCCCATGCAAGTCCTTCGCGGTTCGGGTGGTTTTCCAACAGCTATTTGCCATGCCAAGCCAGACGTCTGAATATGGCTTGTGGCAAAGCAGGGCAAAGCAGGGCCAAGCAGCGCCGAGCATGGCTGAGCAGGGCCAGAGGTGGGGCTCATGACGCACCCATTGTGTACGACGTCAGTCAGCACATCGTAGGGTACACAAGGTCACTGCGTCACCTGCACGTGTTTCAAATGCGCGCGGTGTCAGCGGCACGGCGTATGCAGTGAAAAAAATGACCTGATGCCTGCTGAGCTGCACGAGGCTGGCTCACCAGATTCATGGCACGGATCACTTGTGCAGTGGAAACGATTTATCTCTCCATCTCTCTGAACGAGTCTCTCGATCGGGCCGTTTGTTGGCGAGCGGCGGCTTTAGCGAGCGCCTCTCCCGCCGTCACACGCGATCAGTTCCAGAGCCTGCACTCGGACAGCGGGAGGAACGACGAGGAGCTGCGCGTGACCAGGAACGAGATCACCGAGCTCAACCGCCAGATGCAGCGCTTCCGCGCCGAGATGGAGGCCCTCAAGAAGCAGGTGAGGGGGGCGGGAGGCGGAGGGGGGGGGCATGCTGATGAGCGACTCGACCACCTGTGAACTGAGATGGATGCAGTTACGAAGCCAGTGCTGAGCCACGTAGCGCGACAGTTTGGTTGACATCGTGAACCATCCGTTACAAACAGATAGACAGCGAGAGTCGATGCATGAACGCTTTCTAACTTAGTTGGGGCAGTTAAAAAAATTTGAGAAAATCAGTGTTCACACGAAAGAATGACACGTCCATGATCTGAAAATGTGGTCAGTTCAGAGTGAAAGCCAGGCCCTGCAACAGTGCAGGAGCTACCATGTGTGCCGGCGGACCTTCTGCACCGGGGGAGGGGAGGTGGGCTCACAGGCCTGTGGGGCTCAGACGCCGGGATACAAATAGGGAGAAGGTGAAATTGGGTCGAGGGGGGGGGGGCCTGTGCCGACCCCACAACCTCTGCGCGTGCGACGTCCCGGGGGGCGGTCCGCGTTTGACGTCCGCGTCGCCCATCCCCCAATCGCGCCGTCCGTCCTCGCAGCGCGCCAAGCTGGAGTCGGCCATCGCCGAGGCGGAGGGACGCGGAGAGGCCGACATCCGGGAGGCCAAGGCGGCCATCGCCCAACTGGAGGAGGAGATCCACAAGGCCAAGCAGGAGATGGCCAGACACGTGCGCGAGTACCAGGAGCTCATGAACGTCAAGCTGGCTCTGGACATCGAGATCGTCACCTACCGCAAGCTGCTGGAGGGAGAGGAATCCAGGTATGTGTGTTCACCTGCAAAACCGGTGCTCAATTTCTTACCGGACGTTTGGCACGTAGCCGGTGGGAAACTGATAGTTGCAGCCACAGCAGAAATGACCCTGAACGTGGTGTGCCGGGTGAAACGCTATTTTATAGGTCACCGACGTAAACAGGTCCTGGCTGAAATTAAGTCGCGATTAACTCAATCTGCATATAAAAAGGTCTCTCTGGCCAAATGAGTAATGTGGTAGCGATAATCTGACATTGGCGGCCTTAAGAAACCGATAGAAATTCCACATTGTTATGTTGGGGCCCACTCTTTCTATCAAATGACGCCACTGATGACTTGCAACCCCAGGAGGAAGATGATGGGCAGAGCTGACCCTGCACTGGAATGTCAATTTGTGACCTTTTGACCTGCGAGTCGAGCCTGCCAGCCACAGCGTCGCCCCTCCTGGGGTAATCTGCATGAGGTCGCTAGCTATCATGATGCTGCTGCAGGGGAACATGTGCTAGGGCCGGGGTTAATTAATCCCAAACGCCCCTCCCACCCCCACCCCCCCCCACCCCCGATCGTACCGCTCGCGACACGCGTTTTCCCCCTTGTCACACCCACCGCGGTGCCCAGGCTGAACGTGATCACGCAGCACCTGACATACGGCGGAGGGCAGCAGATGCTGAGTCAAGGGGGAGGCGTCTACATGGCCGAGGGGGTCACGGGGGCCATCGTCAGCCACAAGACCACGAGCACCGTCACGATGTCGTCCGGTAAAGCACGACACGGCATAGCACGGCGCAGGGCGGGCGCTCCCACTCCCGCGTCGCCGCCACCGCACGTTAATGGCTCGCAGGCCATGCTGGCCGTTAACAGGCGCTCGCTAACGGCACCTGCCTGCCCCATCAGTCACTATGATAGATTCACGTGCGTACGTGCGTGTGCGTGTGTGCGGCTCATGTGCAGGTGCTTACGGTGGCGGAGTCACCTACGAGACTCTTTGAGGACACTCAGAGGAACGGTCGGAGTCGACACAGCAAGCCTGAAGCTTTTCTATACTCGCGCTAATCAGGGGGGCAGTGGGGGGGGGGGGGGGCGGGAAGTGGAGAACTTATGGCTCATGGCCTATATCCTTGCGGCCCATGACCTCGTGAAGGCCACTACTTTAATAAAGCCCTCAACTGACATTTATCAATCACTGCATGCACCTTAACTGCACTGATCGGGTACACAAGGTGGATTTTCGGACACGGCAACAACGGCGTGTTTCTAACCTTGTCCGTGATAAATCAATTCTGTCACTGCGAAGGGCCTCTTACTTGCCATTTCAGTGACCTGGGTCACTCTTGCAAAAAAGACACACCCTCTCGGCCTCTTGACTTCTCACCAGGTTAAACAAAACAAAACTAAATCTAAACTCTGGCAGACGCGACCGACACGTGCGGGGTTAAAATGCGTGGCCAGCCAAAGGGGCCCCATTCGGCCCTCGGCGAGGAGACGGTCTCCCCCCACCCACGCACTTGTCAATCGTCGCGCTTCAACCAGGAGCAGTGAGTGGGCCACGTGGGTGGCCGCGATTGCATTGTGAGACACGACGGCACGCGGACGCGGCCGTGCGGCGGCAGAGGCCAATGCACGAGACCCGTCGCAAGGTTGGCTACGTACGGTGCAAAAGAAGTTCGACGTACATACGTGCTTCTACTCGGATCGCACATTCAGGGTTTCGCGCTGTTGGGGCTCTTTATGGCCTCGCTACAAGAGCTGGGCAGTGCGACAGGTATGCAGGTGCAGCACGGGCAGACACTACCAGGCTAACATGCATATGTACGCACGCGCGCATACGTGCACACGTACGTAGGCACGCATGCACACGTGAGAACGCACGCCATGACTGGAGATCAAAGCTCACGTTTAAACAGCTCTGGCCAAAGACGCGATGGCATGTTCTAAACAGAACAATGGTCACAGTAAGTCATAGTGCCTTTCACAACAAGCACTTTATAATCTACAAATCACTAAAAGTGAAGAAATAAAACTGGTAATTCCGCAAATAAAAGCTTACAAAAAAGGGGAAATGTGTCTTTCAACTTGCAATCAATGCTAAGGATTCGAATTTTAAGATTTTAAATATGTATACACAATTTCGGATGTGATGTGAAAACATCGGATGGGGAAGGTAATACAAAAAAAATAGCAATTTGGACCATGCCGCCAGCACACACAACAGACCACCCTTGCGAATGACGTCAGGGGATCTTAACAAACGTCCACTGTGAAGCAAACAGTGCACGTATTTAATACATACCTCAATACGGTCATTAGCATGGTCACTACACACCGGCGTATTAACCAGGGCGGCTGCTGGAATTGGAACCGCGAGCCTCTGCAACGATCAGCGAACGCGTCGCGTCAAAGCCCGGTTCCAGGGGAGACGGGCACGCACGGCACTCCGGTGGCGGTCGAACCACGCGGCCTAATGACCAACGTACACATCGAATGCTCGGCCCCCACCAGGAGGCGAGTCCCACGCCTGCAACTCGCCCAGAAAGCCCGGACAAAGTCGACGATTCGTCGCTTCCATTGGGACGAGACGTGACGTGGCAGAGGCCGGTGGCTTCACCGTGGACGCCAGACCAGGGCCACGCGCAAGATAACGACCGCGGGAAGAGTTGCACCACGAGAGGCCGAGAAACCTGCGGCACGCGCCTTGAAATATGCACAACCCCATACTGTGTTTTTCATGTGGCTCTTTACATCCCAACCCCCGCTTGTTTGTTTGGGATAAACCCTGCTTGGCTTGCGTGTGTCACATGACTGTCACCGTTTTATACAATAAACTGTTTTTAAAGCTTTTATGATGGTGTTGGTGGTGGTCGCTTAAAACTCTCTATCACACGGGAGTGGTGATGTGGTTAAACAGCAACCGTGACGAACACAGCGTTGGGAGGCAGGCCCTCATCCAGAAGTGGATTGACAAAAAGCACGGCTGGCTGTACGTGGACATGATGGCGGTTGTTGAAGGTGATGGACGAGAGCGTGTTTGGGTTATAGAGCAAAGCTGAACTTAATAACGAACAACAAAAAACCTCAGTCGTCAGTAACACTGTGTGGCCTGAAAAAGAAAATAGATATACGTATATTAAACTTTTTTCGCACCATACGTAGTCAACTGTGCTAATCAGAGGTGTAGTTGGCTACGTACGTATACATGGTGCTTCAAAGAATGTTTAACACTTCTGAGAATTTGCAACACTACCACAATAAATGTGCTGCTGCCTCTGGGCACTAAAGACCACCTGGATAAGATTCCAGGCACGTGTTGACAACGATGGCGAACAAGTGGAGACACTTTGACTTGTTTAAGCTAGTGACATACATTTGTTATTGCATCACAGTGTACTATCCCGTTCTTTTTCCATTAAAAACGATAGTCCCATGTAAGTGTTGACATTTTTTTAAGCACCCTGTATACATAACAGGTCACATCTTGTCCAATGGCACCTTATTCGCAGCACTTGATTACTTGCGCCTGTGCAATCACTGCCAACACAGCGTCAGCGGATAATTTGCCTAATAACGAAAGGCAGCTCATCAAAGTGCCTTAGAGAAGGTGTTTAATCGGTGTACATTAGCGGCTGTGACACGCAGGCCGTTATAACATGGGAAACGCAAAGAGGTCATGAAACAAGGGACGTCGAGAGATGCATGCTGGGAATTACACTGAGAGACAGAAAGTGATACACATCGATCAATAAACAAATTAGAAAAGTTATATTATTTCATTACACTATGTAGCACAATTTTTGATCCTGGGTAGTAAGTGTTATTTCGTAATTGCTTATGCCTAAAAAATATAGAAAATGGCTATTATTCCTCATGAACTTTGCTTCTGTGATCAGAACAGTGATATTTTGAAATTTACCTATTTTCAATGAGAAAACGGCAAATGTGTTTTTCGTTCACATAAAGTCAGAAAAAAACAACATTAATCAAAAATATACATGTATTTATGCTAAAGTAATACAAGAATGACTACAAAAGATTCAGAAATGAGTACTTTTTCGAGATTTACGATTATACTGTAATCACTTTCACGAAGCAGCCCCAAATGTAGTCTCCCATCATGTTCTCGTTTTACTGTCCTTGGTAGCGGCGTTCAAAGTCAACTATATCCTGGTGGAAGCGCTCGCCTTGCTCCTCCGTGTACGTTCCCATGTTCTCCTTGAATTTATCAAGATGAGCATCAAGGATATGGACTTTGAGGGACATCTTACAGCCCATTGTGCCGTAGTTCTTCACCGGAGTCTCAACCAGCTCCACATAGTTTTCGACCTTGTGATTGCCCAGGAAGCCAAAAACTACTACGACAAAGCTGTCCCAAGCCGCTTTCTCCTTACTAGTGAGCTTCTTTGGGAATTAATCGCACTCCAGTATCTTCTTTATCTGTGGTCCGACGAAGACACTGGCTTTGACCTTTGCCTCAGACAGTTTAGGGAAGAAGTCTTGAAGGTACTTGAAGGCTGCCGATTCCTTATCTACAGCTCTGACAAATTGTTTCATAAAGCCCAATTTGATGTGCAGTGATGGCATCAGCACCTTCCGGGGGTCCACCAGTGGCTCCCACTTGACGTTGTTCCTCCCCACAGAGAACTCGGTCCGCTGTGGCCAGTCCCGTCTGTGGTAGTGCGCCTTGGTGTCCCTGCTGTCCAAAACGCAAAGATAGCAGGGAAACTTGGTAAAACCGCCTTGGAGACCCATCAGGAATGCCACCATTTTGAAGTCGCCGTACTCATCATACTTCAAGGTGTCCAGCAAGGTCTTGATGCTGTTGTAATCCTTTCTGAGGTGCACCGAGTGAGCCAGGGGAAGAGACGGGTACTTGTTACCATTATGGAGCAGCACGGCCTTTGAGGCTCCTGGATGAGCTATCAATGAAATGGCACTACTCATTCTAGTTACAGGCGATTTTGATTGCCTCGAACAGACTGGTCGCATTGTGACAGAAGCAGAGCCCATCTTGACAGGTGAAGAAGCTGCAAAAAGGATGGTGACACTTCTTCTGATCTGCGACTTGCACACTTTCATCCAACAAGTTCCACAGCTTGAGCCTAGACATCAAAAGCTCGGCATTGGACTTGGTGAGACCAAGATCTCTGATCAAGTCGTTGAGGTCTTTTTAGTTGGGGTAGTATGGGTTTCTCTCCTCAGCTCCACCTCTGAAATTTTCATCGGGATCTACAACGTCTTCCTCACTCTTCCTCACTCTCTGCTCTCTTCTAAAGACGGCTGCTCTCTCTCCGGAGGAGTGGGTATGGGGAGCTAATGGCAGTGTGGCACCAGGGCGATGGATGAATAAAGGTCCGAATACGTGATGGCAGGTGCATTCTTGCCTGTCCGACGTTTGGAAGGGTCCACCATGCAGAAGTAGCAGCTGCTTGAGTGGTCAGTGGGTTCCCGCCAAATTATTGGGATAGTGACCTTCATGGCTCTCTTTTCCCCTCTGTACCATCCTATAAAAAATACATTTATATCACCCATGACTAATGTGTAAGAGATTCTCGCAACATTTTTCATATATGATATCTTTTTTCAATAATATTGAAAATTGTCAAACATTTTTTAATTAAAAACTTTTACAATTTTACAAATTTTTACAAATGTTATAACATAAAATTCCGAGCAACAATTGTCCATCTTACCTTCCAGAGTTTTTTGCATTGCTCGCAGGTGAAATGAGGTGCCCAGGGTTTGTCTTGATCTCTGACAGGCAATCCGAAATATACCTTGAAGGCCTCACACATCTTAGTACTCTGTGGAAGCATCTGCTTTTTCGCTCTTATCTTGATAAATTGGCCACAGACATAGCAAAATGTGTCTACCAGATGCTTGCAGCCTCTTAATGCCATCTCAGAAAAATGCAGATATGTATCCACTTAGGCAGCTGGAACTAAACTGAACTGGTGGGCTTAAGGCTTCTGTATTTATACTACTATTTATATTACTGGAAAGTTCCAGAATGTTCTAGAAGTTACTCCAAGTTTACTCAGCACTGAATCTATCCGGAAAATTCTGGAAAATAGGTCAATTACAAAATATCACTTTCATTGTCACAAACGCAAAGTTTGTGGGTGAATAAGACATTTTCTATGCTTTGAGGCATAATCAATTAGGAAATAACACTTACTACCCAGGAACAAAAGAAGTATTGTTACACAGTGTTATTAGTAGTATTGTGCTTGTTTAACCAAGAAAGCCTATCTGAGCCTCTTGACTCATTTTTGCCGGAGGGTCCTGTCACGTTTTCGAAACAGGGGGCGATGGTTGCTACGTTATATTCCCAAGTAATTCGCAGGTCACGTTTTGAATTTGGCAAATGTGTATGTATGCGTGATGAAAAAATACGAATAGGCTTTACCCTTCTGGCAATACAACGGGAGGTGCTTAAGATGTTCGAACACCAAATCGATACCTATTGCAAGGCACCAAGTCTGCATGAACCACACATACGTGTGGCTAAACATGCAAACAAACATGCTCTCATATGCCTTGTCTATGAAACTAATTGGCCTAAACCATAGATATAACTGCTCATCCCCAACTATTAATGCTTTGTATATATGTACGTTGAACTTATTTCGCACTGTACGTAGCCAACAGTGCTTTGTATGTATGTTGAACTTCTTCCGTACTGCATGTAGCCAACCATTCTATGTATGCACGTACACTGAACTTCTTTCACACCATACGTAGCCAACCGAGCAGATCGGAGGCACGACCGAATTGGACCGTGACGCCGACACACGGTGGCCCACTCTTGCGTTAGGCGTCGCCGGACTTTTTTAACATCCACTGCGAAGCAGAAAGTGTGAATTATTACGGTCGTTACACAGAAGCGCATAATTAATCAGGGTGGCCGCTGAGTTCGAACGGCAATCCTCTGCAACAATCGCTGAGCGTGCTACCGCTGAGCCCCCCAAGCCCCACCGCCGGTTGTAAAATAATCAGAATCGGAATCTTTATTTAGACTGGAGGAATCTGATGAGCTATGAAGCGGTGGGTCAGAAAGTTGCAATACAAAAAGTATTGTAAAGGTAAGCAAGAAGTCACCAAAATAAATACGTGAAAATAAAGTATATAAGTGTAAATTCCAAAACTATATAACTTCCTTCCGATTTTTCAACAATAAATGCAAGCCTGGGCAAGGCCGCAAAACAACAACAGTCCGAGACCATAGGAAGACAACACAAAAGTCTCTAAATAAAATTGCACATTAAAATTTAACTATCGATACAGGGGTAAGGATCAAAGTTGCAAATCACATTGGCAAATGTGGTTGTATCCAGCACTAATCTTATGCTTCAGGATGTTTTTTTGAAAGAAGATTCACGATGCCAAGGGAGGAAAACAAGGTTGTTTTCGAAGCTCAGGTGCTGCAACGGCAAAAGGATTTGCCACCTATTCCAAAGCTCGTTCTTGGGATAGTCAAAAGCGAGCTTGTGCAGGACGCACGGCTCGAAGTGAGACCGCACTCACAGGGACACGGCACTCTAAGAGACACGGCACTCTAAGGGACACGGCACTCTAAGGGACACGGTACTCTAAGGGACACGGTACTCTAAGGGACACGGCACTCTAAGGGACACGGCACTCTAAGGGACACGGTACTCTAAGGGACACGGCACTCTAAGGGACACGGTGCTCACAGGGACACGGGGCCCTAAGGGACACGGCACTCTAAGAGACACGGCACTCTAAGGGACACGGCACTCTAAGAGACACGGCACTCTAAGGGACACGGGGCCCTAAGGGACACGGCGCTCAACAGGACACGGCGAACAGTCGAGACGAATGATGGGGTGGCACCCAAGGGAGGGAAACGTGCCAGAGAGGGGCGCCCACCACAGAGGCGGATCTCTGATGTCATCGAGTGCAAGTGCTCGGTAGATTACTGCATCGATTGAATGTGGTGGCAGTGATGTGGAACAATTTTTAGAACGTTTATTTGTAATGGCTTATACCACCTCCCCAGTAACAGCGTCGATTCCGCACGCAGAGTGATCACGCGTCACCAGACCCCTCTGCCACTTAACGGCAACAACACAGCCGCCTGCCTGAAAAAAACAAAACTGAACGTGAGGAGCAGAAGAGAAAATAAATGTTTTTTGGGTGCGGTCTGAAAAGCACAGATTGTCAAGGCCTCAGTTGGCAGAGACTGCTCCAGACTACGGGGGGTGGGGGATTGCAGACAGACAGCTCCGTTCTGCTGTGCTAAGCCGAGTGGATCTCACACTCAGCAGCAGGTCCATCGCACGTAAGTGCAGGTTTCGTGATGGTACACATGGATTCAATGGCGTCGCTCAGTTAAGTCGGGTGACCACTTGCCTTTGCCGTACTATAAGTCTACTGCAACCTGCAAAGGACATGGACCCCGTACCATAGCTGAATAAAGACCTCCCCACAACGTGTTCATCCAGCAGTCGATTTGCCGTACACATCGCTGGTGAACACAGCCGCAAGATAATTATGAACAATGGCCTCCCTCATGGCTCACTCGGCACTCGCACCCTCACTATTTGACAATACTCGATACAAAATACTCTGACAGCTCATCGACTGTTATTGGAGGCATATTTCCTTCGCTGGAGACTCAGACCACATCCCTCCTAAACCACCTGAACAATCGTGCAGTAGATGCCACCCTTGATGTGTTCTTGTGTGGTAGACCAGTGTACTACGACCCCACGGCCAAATATCTAAGAAACATCATGGACAAGAGTCTGAACTTCAAGCACCACATCAAACAGATGCCTGAAAAGATCAAATCAAGAATGGCCGTGCTATAGAAACTTGCAAAAATTTCCTTGGGTGCCTTAAATTATGTGCTGCGAAAATGCTGCCCTCTCACTGATGATCTAATCCGTAGCAGAGTACTGTGCTCCAGCCTAGTCTGGGATCTCGTACAAAAAAACACAACAGGCACAATAAAATCATGCAATGCGCATCAGAATCGGAACACTGAAACAGACACCAATTCCAAAGCTCACTGTTTCTAGCGAACATTCTGACACCAAACATCTGCAGAGACCTGCAAAAAGCAAAGGAGAGGACACCTATTGTTGTGGCCCAGGCTCTACCCCTCAACCAAGGCCTCAAAAATGTTACCTCATCACTGAATTAAGTCCCAATCTCCCTTCTGGGATTGCGCTGTTGTCATCATCCTAAAGTCCCACCCAGATACCGAAGAAAGTTGGCTAAACAGAGTGGAACAACGCAGACATCCAGAATAAATACGTCATTTGAGACCCGAACATCGCACCTCCTGGCATTGACATTGATGGTGCAACCTTCAATCACATCAGAACATCAACAGGCCCATGCGCACACCTTCTTCATGAATGGAAAATCACAGACAAGCCAGAGTGGTGCGATCATGGCCCTGCAACACAAACCATGGTCCATATAGACAACCACTGCAGTATGTGCTCCTTCAACGGTGGAATATTAAAACTACACAAACTCTTGCTTCGAGCCCTCTCTCATCCTAGCTAGCAGGCCTCGACATTTATCTTCTAAACATATTGCTGCTGTCATGTATGTATGTTTGTTGAACTTCTTTCGCACCATACGTGGTGCGAACCATGCTAATCAGAGGTGTGGGGGAAGGACAGCAAGAATAGTATTGTAGATTGGTCATGGCTGCTGATCATAACGGTGCCCATTAATGTCATCTGGATGGGCAAAATCGAATTTGTGTAATCCTCACTCGCATAGTCCGTCATATGGATGGGGGCCTCTGCACACCGCATCAGCCATAGGGATAGTTTGGCCATATTTCACCACGCTGTTGGGTGAAAGTTGGTGAAAGTGGCAAGGTGGGAGGGGGGCGTGGGTCACGGGCACCCGGGAAAGGTGTCAGATATGACACACCAAACCGCTGCTATCCGTGGCCAAATTAAAAGTTATTCCCATTGTGAAATTTTCTGGCTCCACCTGCGAAATGCGGTGATTTTTAGACGCGAGGCGTTTTACGTTTCACCTCCTTCACCACAGGCGAGAGGTTTGAGTGGGGAGCCGGTGCGGGAGGTGATCTCACTACCGACAAGGCGTGCAGGCATGCTGGAACACAAACCCGAGTGGCGGCCACAGACCGGCACGGAGCCTCCCTTAATCTGCGCGGTGCACACACGGCGGACCCGCCTTGATATTACTCACAGTCTGGGGCGATCATCTGCTTTCACTCCTACCTTCACCCCCCCCCCCGGCCGCAACCCCCCCCCCCCTCCCCCGTGTCATTGGGGCGACTGAAAACGTACTTACGTTGCAACGAATGTAAAAATGTTCCTCCATTGATTAACGTCGCAACACGTTCGCTCCCCCCCCCACCGCCCCCCCCCCCCCCCCGCCATCAGAGCCACTGGAGTGTGAAGGCTCGTCGGGGCGAAACAGAAAAAGCGTTCGGATTCAAAAATAGCCCCCCGTGTGCCCGGTATCGCGCGCGAGCCGGGGAAGGGGGTGGAGGTCTGCAATTATGACACGAATGTGTCATGACAATTAATCAATCAGTCTAGGCGAACGACTGACTGAAGCCTTTGGGTGTAGCCCTGTGCATCATCCAAATTCTTACGTGGATCAGCCAATTGAGCGGTGGGAGCCTCTTTCGGGAATTAAAAGGGGGTTGGTGGTGGGGCTGGGGTGGTCGGCTGTTCGTCGTCGCTATAAAAGCCTCGGCTCTCTGGCTCCGAACCTCAGGTCTCCACCTCCGCTCGTTTTTGTTGAAAGCCCGACGCGCCTTTCCCAGCAGCTGCTTCTATTCTGCCCCGTCAGCACAACAACCGCTACTACCACCACCCGTACTTCGCACCCGGCAAAAATCTACCTTCGATCAGCAGCCATGTCCGCCAGCATCAAAGTGTCGACCACCAAGAGGACGTCCACCCGCAGCAGCGCGGGGGGCCCTCGCGTCGTCAGCGGCGGCTTCAGCAGCCGCTCGTTCGGCGGCGGCATGGGGGGCAGCCGCTTCAGCGCGGGGGGAGGCTCCGCGTTCAGCCGCCGCAGCACGGCGCTCGGCGGCTCGTCGTACCGGGCCGGCTCGGCCGCCTCCAGCTTCGGCTACGGCAGCGGCAGCGGCGGCTACGGCTACGGCGTGGGCGGAGTGGGCGCGGCGATTTCGGCCGCGGCGCTGGCCTCCGCGGCCCCCGTGGACATCGACCGCTCGGTGCTGCCCACGCGCACCCAGGAGAAGGAGGCCATCAAGCACCTCAACGACCGCTTCGCCAACTTCATCGACAAGGTGGGCACGAGCCGCAAGTGCTCATGCGCGCGCCCGCGCCTATTTCACTTTGTGACGTGGGTGGTGGGGGCGACGTTGCCCATTTGGTTGACAACTTCGACGCGCTCATATGGGCCCAATGTGACGAATTCTCACAATCGCTCGGAGCTCAGCGAATGGTTGGTGTTGGCTTTTGCGATCCAGACCCAGAATCTCACGAATTTGGCATTAGTTGTTCATCTCTCGACTCACACTGGAATACCGTAGCTGTTTTTATTGCTTAAGTTTGCTCACTGTTGGCGGCCTGTGCATAGAATCTAATGGGCTGCAAGTGAACTCTGGGAAACAAACATTCTTGATTTGTGCCCAGGTTTTTATATTGTGATGTGGCACAACATCAGGTGGGGTAGCTAAACGAGTGCCAATACAATCTTCACAATTGCTGGGATTCGATCGACGGCTTTAATGTTTACTTATGGTGCCATTATGATAAATTCACTCATTTATAAGCAAGTTTAAGCCTCCGCGATGTCATAAAACGATTTAGAAATTGGCTTTCATGCCAACAAACTGGCCCAATTCAGAGTAACACTGCCCAGGTCAAAGTAAAAACCGGGGCTCTTTTGCGTTAGCTTCTCAATGGACAGCCACTCGTCGCAAACAAGCGCAGAATGTTCCAGGTGCACATGGAACCTACGAGACTCCCGCTCGGGGAACTCTCTCCGGCCACCCTGCGGGGCACGGCAGCTGTCTGTCCCCGCTCGAGCCAATCACTCCCCGATTCCTGAGCCCACTTTGCCTACTCCTTCGAATTCTCGTCGTTTCAGGTGCGCTTCCTGGAGCAGCAGAACAAGGTGCTGGAGGCACAGTGGTACGCGCTGCAGGAGAAGACCACGACCGGCTCCAGCATCGACGAGATGTTCGAGGCCTACATCAACGGGCTGCGGCGGCAGCTCGACGGCCTGGGCCACGACAAGGGTCAGCTGAACGGAAACCTGGGCCAGATGCAGGCCGTCGTGGAGGACTTCAGGGCCAAGTAGGTGGCTGCGTCCGCCTCTCATCCAACATTCGCAGCCGTGTGGGGTTTTTTTTTTTTGTGGCATAGCAGCGGTGGGGGCAAGCAGCTCGCAATCGGAAGGCTGCAAGTTCAAATCCTGGTATGGAATTGACTCTAACCAACCACGCTCTCCGCTCACCCTCGCCTCCCCTCCTGAGTCGATAAACTGAGTAGCACGTTGTGGAGATATTGGCAGTGGTTGCCCTGTGGATGAACTCTCCTCCGACATGGGAATTTGAAATTTGCACCGCTGGCTCAGGGCTGAAAACTGGATACGAGCACTTGCCTCCTCGAATGCTCATTTGAGCAGGAAATCACTTCGCTTTTCATTCGCTGTAATGCAATACCCTGGTCTATTGAAGCGAACGAGTCGATGATGGCAATGGAATGCTGGGAAGTGGAAGGTAAAGGCGCAGCCCTGCAACTGCTTGCCCCACATCACTGCTAGTGGAAGAAGCCTCGACCAGAAGGATCTCCACGCAGCCCCTCTCGAGGGTATTTAACCCACTCGTCCAACGCGGTCCAGACAACGTTGAAATCACTGAGATTGAAAACTCATTTCTTTAGAGCTGCTCTTCCTGTGTATTTTGCTGTCCTTTCCCCGCACCTCCGATTAGCACGGTTGGCTACAAACGGTCCCCACAGTTTACCCCACCACCCACCACCTGCCGTGCAACCGAACTGTGGTGTGCCCATTCATTATGCTGGTTGGACGGAGGCGGTGGCAAGGGAGCGGCGGTGGGGGGTTGGATTTCAGAAACTTTTCCCCGTGTTGTGCCAGCTGCCGTGCCGGGAGATTGAGCCGAGGACCGTTGGTAACCATTATAACGCGGCAACGTCTATAGAAGCATTCCAAGTTCATTCATTATTTTTGATACATCTAAAACTAACAAAATATATATATAACAATAATTCAAAATGTTTTTTTTTGCTTGCAGATACGAGGCAGAGATCAACAACCGCAACGCAGCCGAGGGCGAGTTCGTGGTCGTCAAGAAGGTGGGAAAGCGTCGCGGAATTATTCTGCCCTGCGCGATGATTGCGGTGGGGGGGTGGGTTATTGTAATTGTTGACGTGCAAAACGAGAACTCGCTGGGGTCGTGGTGCTCGCGCAGTCCCGCGGCACTTGCAGGAACCCCACTGGTGGCTCTGGTCACCGTGAATGTCCAGAAACCACCCCCACCTAAAACCCACCCACCCCCACCCACCCCAAGATGTCCAGATACGGATAGGAGACGCCAACACATTTTTGGATAAAAAATATTACGGTGTCGGCGTTTTTTTTCTTTCTTCCGTCAACAAAGGCAACGTACTTTCCAATTTTATTGACCACGGAACATTTAAAACAATTTATTTGGTGCTGCTGCCGCTGTGTCGGCAGTGCCGGTGGTGTACGAGCACATATACCAAGACAAGAAACAACTGCGACATATTTGTCATGAACACAGCGGCCCGAAAAGAATTAGACCATATGTATATGTAGAAGTAGGCAACATTTCGGGCAGCAGTGGCCCTTCTTCAAAGCACACAAACTAAGTACGCAATTGCCAGAAACGTCGCCTGTTATATATTTACCTTTTAATGCTACGCGCAGGAATGATATTGACGAATGTGTTCTTTAAATACAGAGCAGTGCACAAACAGTGGGCTCAGTGCCGAGTCGCTGACCAGTAGATGCATAGATCCAATAACGAACTTAACTTTTTTATATTACCAGGTAAGGCCCACTAGCCTATGTAGCTATTTTTTAGAAACGACTTGGCCACAAATCATAGCTCATCGTGTGAAAATATATAGCAAACAAATATTATATTCGCATGTTTCTAAATGTGGAGGTAAAAACCAGATTCACGTGACCACAGGGAGAACATGCAAACTCCAAATATACAGGAGTCGGGATCGAACCCAAGGACTCCTATGGACCAGGCGAGGTAGTTAACATCTTGCCACCGTAGCACCCATAATATAATTATGGTGCAACAGGACTCCTTTTATCTGACCCCTGACCCCAACGCGAGCAATTCACTGATGGGGACAGCCCCAACATCCGAGGCGTAGCTGCACCACTAACCCACGTCATCTCTCGCTCTCTCCCAACATCCGAGGCGCGGCAGCACCGCTAACCCACGCCATCTCTCGCTCTCCAACCACAGGATGTTGATGGGGCGTACCTCTCCAAGGTGGAGCTTGAGACTCGCCTACAAGGCCTCGTGGACGAAATCAACTTCCTGAGGAGCATCTTCACCCAGGTGGGCTCACTCTCGGTCACAACATCGTGACGTCATAGGGGGGGGTGGGCAATCTTCGCCTCCTCACTGTTCCAGAATAGAGCCCCCGTCTGTGAGGCAGGCCCAGTGGCCACAATCGGAAGGTTGCGAGTTCAAATCCCACTTGGGGATCGGCTCAGCCCATAATCCATCTTCACAGCCAGACTTCACGCGTCGACGTCACCTTCCTCCACACCACAGTACGCTGACACCGCGTGGCCCTTCGGCAGGAGCTCAGCGAGCTGGAGGCCCAGATCAAGCACACCAACGTGCTGGTGGAGATCGACAACAGCCGCAACCTGGACGTTGACGGCATCATCGCCGACGTGCGTCAACAGTACGAGACCATCGCGGCGCGGAGCCGGGCCGAGGCGGACGCCTTCTACCAGGACAAGGTGGGGCGGCGTGCCACCGGCGGAGCGGCGTCGTTACTCGTCTCTCTCCACCCTCCTGTCTCTCTGCGTCCCTCTCTGTCCGCCTATCTGTCCGTGTCCATCTCTCCCTCTCTCCATCTCTCTCTATTTCTACCGCCAAGTACCCCCGCTCCCCCTGCCTCCCTTGCCCCATTGCGACAAAATGTCACCCACCAAAATTATTTTGCCCCCCCTGCGCTACCGGCACCGGTCCGTTGTTGTTGCCGTTCGGCGGCTTTAGCGAGCGCCTCTCCCGCCGTCGCGCACGATCAGTTCCAGAGCCTGCACTCGGACAGCGGGAGGAACGACGAGGAGCTGCGCATGACCAGGAACGAGATCACCGAGCTCAACCGCCAGATGCAGCGCTTCCGCGCCGAGATGGAGGCCCTCAAGAAGCAGGTGAGGGGAGGGGGTGGGCGGGGGGACTGGGGGAGCATGCCGACGGGCAGCTCCACCGCCGACGAACTGAGCAGGCGCCACCAAGAGGCAGGGCTAGAATCCGGGAGACCGCTCACGGAAGCCACAGACATTTCACGCGAACGCCGGTCACCCTCACAGCGGCTTTTGGCTTGCCATCGAACAAGGACGGTGGTCACCGCATCGCGCGCTTGTAGATGCACTCCTGCGGCCGTCTGGAACGCTCCTCCGTCCGATATGTTTAAGCCACTGGAGCTATGCACTTTTAAATCTAAGATTGAAAACGAATTTCTTTAAAACTGATTTTTGTGTTTAGTTTGTTGTCCTAAACCCCTCACCTCCGATTAGCGCGGTCGGCTACGTGCAGCGCGAAAGATGTTCATTACATACATACCGAGAGGTATACTGGAGGTGGTGTGCTGGGTGTGGAAATATTGTCTGGGTTGCTGACCCAGGTACACCTCGCTGAAGTTAAGCCCTGCGCCACCCCTGAGTACAGCTGCTTCTCATAGTGACTCAAAGTTTAATTTAAATAAAGCAAAGGAGAGGTGGCCAGACATGGCTCTTTGATCAATGTAGCTGGTTTTCAGTCGCAAGCAACACAACATTATACTCCAGTTGTGTCGAAATTGGGTTATCTTCATGACAGTTATAGTGCCCCCTCTATTAGACAGACAAATGGATGGAAAAAGTTGATGGCCCCTCTATTAGGGGCGGATGGACAGACAAATCGATGGATGGACAAAGCTAAAGTTGGAACGCTTTAAACCTTCGTTGTGAAAGCATCAAACAACACAAAGCATTCTGACAGAATAATGACACGTCCACGATTTGAAAATGTGGTCAGTTCAGAGTGAAAGCCGGCCCTGCAACAGTGCCGGGGGGGTCCTTCTGCACCGTGGGAGGGGAGGTGGGCTCACAGGCCTATGGGGCTCAGACGCCGGGATACAAATAGGGAGAAGGTGAAATTGGGTCGGGGGGGGGGGCCCTGTGCCGACCCCACAACCTCTGCGCTTGCGACGTCCCAGGGGCGGTCCGCGTTTCACGTCCGCGTCGCCCATCCCCCAATCGCGCCGTCCGTCCTCGCAGCGCGCCAAGCTGGAGTCGGCCATCGCCGAGGCGGAGGGACGCGGAGAGGCCGACATTCGGGAGGCCAAGGCGGCCATCGCCCAACTGGAGGAGGAGATCCACAAGGCCAAGCAGGAGATGGCCAGACACGTGCGCGAGTACCAGGAGCTCATGAACGTCAAGCTGGCTCTGGACATCGAGATCGTCACCTACCGCAAGCTGCTGGAGGGAGAGGAGTCCAGGTATGTGTTCCGCGTCACACCGCCTCAATCTGCAGAGCAGATTTCCTGTTTCAAGCGCTGAACACTGGGCCACAGAGACGTTTTGGAGAACCCGGGCAAGATAAACGAAACGATAATCATATTATTTTTTAACAGTTAAAGCCCACTGAACTACGTAGCTCTTTTTCAGAAGCGACCTGGCCACAAAATGCCAGGTGAGGTCCCCTTGGCCCCCATCTGAGTCCCCGAGTCTCAAACACCTCCCCCTCGGATCTGAGGCCTGAGCCAAATTGACTTTGATGTGCTTATGAGAGCGACAATGTCAGACCCAGTGCAGAGTTGCTGCTGGGAAACGTCAGTTCAGAAGACACGATATTTTATTTAGAGACATGCTACATCGGTTAACATTGACTTTTTGGTTTTATCCACAATACCGGTAAGACTCAATGTTCACGTTGGATGTAAAAGCATCACACCACTGCTAGAGCCACTAGAGGCGCTGTCAGTCACTTCCGTGTTTGAATTGTTGTGACAGGTTGGTAGATTCCATTCACGAATAAATATATATTTTTAGTCTCAGTTTGTCCCATCTCGTTTGTATTGTTTCTTGCCGTGAATAGTTTGTGTTTGCCCACGAGCCTAAACGTAACCTCGATATCTGTAGCTGTGTATAATATGCACATTTTTTATCGTTAAGCAATCAAAAATACGAATTTGCTCCGAAGGACCGCTGTCCAAAACGTCGCCTATGAAATATTTTTGTTCCTTTTAAGGCCACAATATTGTTGACGAATGTGTCGACCTTTTATTATTACTATTATCATTTGTGCTTGTGCACCACTGCCAACGCAGTAGCAGCATCATCAGAAGATGATTCATCAAAGCAAAATAGAAACGATCCTGGGTAGTGGTGGTGGTGGTGGACGAAAAAACCAGGACAGGTGGTCAACCCCGAGCTGTCTCTCATCCACACCAGGCTGAACGTGATCACCCAACACATCACGCAGAGCGGGGGACAGCTCCACAGCCAGGGAGGATCAGCCTTTGGGGGAGACATGATGTGCTCCATCGGCGGAGGTGGAAGCTACAGCGGAGGTGGAAGCTACAGCGGAGGTGGAAGCCACAGCGGAGGTGGAAACTACAGCCAGATGAGCTCCGGCTCCATCAAGATGTCAAGTGAGTGGCTGAGACCCCCCTCTGCTCCCCTCACGCCCCCCCCCACCTTGCACACCCCATCCCCCCCCCCCCCACCCTGTCACCTCCACGCATCTGTCAACAGCTGTCCAATCACAAGCCGGAGAAAGTACTCCACTTATGGAAGGGCATATATGATGTTCTAGGGGTGTGGTGGTTAGTGCACCACGTTACAAACCCGGAGAGCCCAGTTCCATTCCCGGCCATGGCTCACGTCAGCGGCGAGCAGCATCTGAACCGATCCTAGGCTCGAGCCACGGGGATAAATCATTGAAGAGCGCTCTCCTTCGGTTCTCTATCAGCAGCAGCCATGATCTATCCACTGCTGTTTGAAGGACGCTTCCATTTTTCTCCCCACACAAAACAACCGTGGCTCCCGGGGGGAGATCAAGACGCAGCTCATTTGCGCCTCTTGACTAATCGCGCTTTCGGTGAAAGTGAGCGTCACTTGCGGGCGGAGGCATCAACGGTGATTGGTTCCACGGATGAACTCACTTCCGTGATGGGAACTCCGAATTTCCACCACCACTGGTGGCTCTGGCAGGGCTCTAACTATTACACTTTTTTACCAGGTAAGGCCCACACAGAGCTGTATAGCTTTTTTACAGTAACGACCTGGCCCTCACAAATGATAGCTCAACGAAGTGGCGTATCATCACGTGGAAATCTCTAGCAGCCAAATACTCTTAACACGAATGTTGATTCTAACTGTGGAGGGGGAAACCCCGGAGGATCTGGAGAAAATCACACGTGGCTACGGGGAGAGAGAGAGATAGAGAGACGTGCAAACTACAAATATACAGCAGGCGTCAGAGTCGGGAAATGCCTCAATGGTCTTTTGGGCCGAATAATCACTCTCCCTTTGTCTTCCACAGCACACTACTAAAGCCCACACGGTTGCCAAGAGATCCCAGAGGCATTCGCGAAGAAGGACCGCATCACGTCGACTTTGCTCCCCCCACACACCACGAGCACTCGACAATGTTTATGACAGTGCCGCTTACGCTTCTATTTGCTAAGGGAACTTACACATTGCTCCAATGCCACACGGCAGTTTTGTGAAACAATGCTAGAGAGTGGAACGTCGCAAAGACTGTTCTTCATCAGATTCACTTGTGATGTCATCCCCCCCACTGATAATTGGCGCTCGGCTCACGCGCTCTGAACACCGCGAGTAGTTAGCTGTACAGCGAACTCGTGTCTGTGGCCAGACATCCCTCCATTTGACAGCTTATTTTCTACTACGTTGCCAATGCTAGAAATGCTAAATGCCATCTATTTCTTGTCAAAAAAAATTAGACTTTTTTTCATGGCTTGCTTAACCATACACAATCATGGATTATTAAAAAAATCTTTGTTAAAAAAAAACGTTCTAAGTTGTGTTATCTCTGCGGTATTTGAGGGGGCGTATTGACTCCTGCTTGGTGGCATTACACAGACGCCCTGTGGCAGCTCATCGCGTTGTTATGCACGATGTCCGACGTTTCGCTCTACGTGCTGGGAGCTCCTCCAGGAACTGAATTAAATTCAGGATCGGAGCTTCTTCAGGAACTGAATTAAATTCAGAAAACGTATTCAATGACAAAAAAATGTTAACTCAACAAATGCATCAATAACACTGACTTTCAGGCAACGGCCCCATCTTCTATGGCATGTGAAGACATGTGAAGATATGCCACTGCCCGAAATGTCACCTATTTTTTGTTCTTTTAAGGCCCCAGTGTTATTGACAAATGTGTTGCTGGTTATTAATTAGGATTAACGTGTGCTTGTGCACCACATTGGAAGCATCGCTAAATAATTAGCATTGAGTCAGATCAGCCTCTCCCTCGATGTCGCAGTTTCTGAAACAATATCGGCCAGTCTTCCAAAGCGGACTCTGCCACTCAGCATCGAGGAATTGCCAAAAACTAAATTATTTTTAAAACTAAACTACACTTATTATTTTACCAGGTATGGCCCACTGGGCTATATAGCTTTTTTTCAGAAGCGACCTGACCACAAGTGATAGCTCAACGAAGTGGTTTATTGCGTGGAAAATTATAGCAGCCAAATACCCTATACGCATGATTCTAAATGTGGAGGAAAAAAACAGATCACCTGGATAAAAATTCACGCGACCACGGGGAGAGAGACACGCAAACTCCAAATATACAGCAGGCATCAGGATCAGGATCGAACTCACGACCTCCTGTATACCAGGCGAGGTAGTTAACATCTCGCCACCGTGGCGCCCGGGAGCGGCGGCAACAACAGCAGCCGGCAAACGCTTAATACGATCTCTCTAAAAATAATGTTACCGAAGCAGCTCCGGGCAAGTGGAGTGGAAACGTCGGACATGGCGCCCAACTACACGCGGTACAACCCGCAGGCGCGCGTGGGGAGAGGGAGCGCGTACCCAGCCCGACATCGCTGCACGAGGACGTTTCCCGCTTGCGTAACGGGGAGTGGTTGAATCATCGCGCCAAGCCCCAAGGGTTTGGTTCCGATGCATTTATAAGCGGCGCTCGCAATTGACCCGCTCGTATTAAATGTCATGTCTCATGAGCGGGCGCGTCAAAACAGACATCACCGCCACATTGCCCTCTCGGCTACATGAATGTGGTGTAACTTCGGATGAAAAGAAAAAAAAAGGATGTGTAAGATTAATGGGTTTTTTTTTTCAAGGAGGGTAATAGCAGGCCTCATGACACCTTGGCGAGTATGCAATTACCTATGACAGCTTGACAACAGTTGTACCCAGGAAAGCCTCGATAAGATGTTTTGTCTATGAGCAAATCGACCTTTAACGAAACGGATCTCGTTGTATCTCGAAAGCTGAGCTGGATTAAGCCTGGTCAGCCAGTGTGGGTGGGGGGGATAAGGAGTCAGCATTCATGAATTAAAGCAAATCCCGTGGGATCGTGAACGCCGAGCTGAGTTAACCCCGATGGGGAGTTGTATAAGTGACGGGGAAGAATTACCAGGTGCTGTAGACTTGTAGAGCCAGGTAACCCAGCAAATGGCTGTATAGCAATGGATTATTGAACCCTATCTGTGCAAAGATTTGAGTGATACTCCCCCTCGCATGAAACATTTAAAGTAATTAATCGGTGTTGCTGCGTTGGGCAGTGGTGCACAAGCACAGATCACAAAATAATTTACAACCTTCGTCAATAACACTGCAGCCTTATATGGGAAATATTATAATATGCAACGTTTTGACCATTTTTGCATCAGGCCCCATGGTTTAAAGTGCAGTCTACAATTCGTATCCACTCTGTCTCTGTCCCGGCCTCTCTATACGTGTGCTATGGTAAAGGGGCAATTGCCCCAAACGTCACCTTTTTTATTTTAGGACAGTGCTGTCTCTAACAAGACGCTCATTGAAGATCCAACCAAGGCACGACCTAAATACATCTCAAACACGAGAGACTGCGCTGCACGTAGTCGTGCTGGAACCCGCGTCTGATGCGCATTGCCTCACACTATGACTCGATGAACCATTATCCAATACCAGCAGCTTTTGTAGGAAGTGCAAATGTAACCCGGGGGTCAATGGCTGGGGAGGCACTGGCTCGTGTGAGAGCCAGATTCACACACTGTGGGGGCGTGGTCTCACGGAGGGGGCGTGGCCTCACAGACGGGGGCGTGTTAGACACGTCCCCCTCAGTGAGGCAGATGTGATAGCTGCCTCCCCTGGTGCTTTTTCATTGCAGTTTAATGACGAGACCAGCGAGCCTAAATATCTTTATACACACACGTGAAATAAGTTACCTGGAGTATGGAAGGCGAGTACATGAAATGAAGGGGTCTACAAACATTACATTGGTGACATACTGAGATAGTAACAGGCACGCGCTTATTGCCCGCGCTCCATCCAGTTACTGAGGGGTTGCGCAATCAGAGGGGAGGCTGAGTTCGTCGCTGCCTCACCTCTCGTCTCTCCCTGTATTTGCAGCGGAGCTCCGCAAATTTCGCGATTTTGACTCTAAAAATGATTGGAATCGTACAGAAATGACATTTATAACACAGATCAGTGGAAACATCTTAATATTTATTGTATTTGCTTATTCTTATTTTTTACTTTTCGTAACAGCTATTGTCATTTGAGTATGCCAGTCGAAGCTCTGCCTCCCCTGCCTCCCCTGACCGCACGTCCCTGGCACACAGGAGTTGCAATCCAGAGGTGGCCGGTTCGAACTCCCGTTCAGACGATCGGCAAGTGTGTGGTGGGGTAAAGTGTGGGATACTCTTCCAAGACAAGGTCCAAATACACCTCCAGAGCTCCTGCTATGGTGGAGGCCTTTCCGCTAGCAGCGGTGTTGAGAAAGAAATTACGCGGCTGCGCCTTTACCTTGCACAACTGGAATCCGTCTGGCGGCGATTCCAGACGTTCATCGAATGGCTTTTCAAATTCGCCTTAAACAGCGATGGGATGACGACGATCACAGCCCCGCGGTGGTGGCTACGCACGTGACCTCCTACTCGGGCACTGTGGGGGACAGCCACGGTTGGTGGATCGCACAAAATGTTGTGCAACTCACTTCACGTTGGCGTCGACGAGGAGTTTATACCCTGGGCTCGCCCACCACGAGAAGTCAAAACAATGATGACATGCGGGCCAATATCATCTGTCCCTTCTGCATGGAACGAAATATTGCCCGCCGCAACCTCGCACGCGTGTGGTTTTCTCTGCGTCTTCTGGATCCCCCCCCCCATGCATATAAACGCTCATTAATTGGCCCCAAATTATATTAGTATATGGAGGATTGTGGAGCTTGGTCCATTGTGGACAGCGCGCCGTCTCACCGCCCGGTCGCTGCCTTTGCAGCTTTGCTCGTGGGCACCCCAGCGATTGTGAGACGCGATTTGCATGAACGGCGACGCCATCATCGTATACGAACCGACACGGTGCGAGTATCACATTCCTGTGAACGCTTCAAAACTCGGTCCGTTGCTTTTCATCTATGCAACACGGTGCAAGAGAAAGGGGGGGCTACATTGTACCACGTGTCCATTAATCGTCAGGCGCATGCAGGGCTCAGCGACTTACCGAGGAGGAGACGTTAGGTAAGGGGTGGACAATCGGTGGCTTTCGGAGGAACTGGAGCTTGGTGGGAGAAACATGCCGCTCGCCAAACCGGTTTCGCGAGAGAGCGCTCGCAGGGCGCGCGTCAACTTCACAACCCACATCCATTGCGCGTATTGGGGGAGGGTGAGTGGGGGGGGTAAACATACAGTGCTGGCACTGCCAGTGAGCTGGCACGACACACGAGTGACATTTGAGAGAAGTTTGTGTGTGCCCGTGAATGCAGGGGGCTGGGGGGGTGGGGGTCTCTGCGTTGCGCGATTTGCGTGCATCGCAAAGCAGCGGGTGCCGTGTCGCGTGAACGCGAGGACTGATCCGCCGGTCAATCTCAGCGGGTCAACCCGTGACGACACCTGGGTCTGTTCCGTGACCGCGCGAGCCTTCGACGCCGCCACGTGGCCAGTGCACGTGGCCTGGTACAAGCGCCCCGGTGACGTCGCCGCTACTTATTGGCGAGCGGCGATGTGTTGACGTTGCGTTACCCGTCCGTTGTGCTCGGCTCCCAACTGCGTGGAAAGAAAATAGCGGTGCAGATGAAAGTTTAAAAGGAAAACGCGCAGCCTTTTGTCGATCCGTTGCTGGATTGAAGGTATCCTCCTACCCACCACACCTTTGTCCGTCGGTAACGGGGGTTGTTTTGACCATACTTCACCAGGCTGGTCAAGTGCGGGTTTCGGTCAATTCTGGAGTCTCGAAGACCGAATCAGATAGTGTTATCTCTCTCTTGTCGAGAGTCGGTGAAGACTGTCCTCACTACTCCCCAAGTATCATCGAATTCGGTTTCGCCTGGTAACTCGTAACCACCGCTCCGAGCGCCCTAGGGTTTGGTTTCACGCCGACTCAATGTCACGCATTCCCCACGGCTCGCACCTCCGCGGGCCAGGTGAAGTGTTTGAAGTTTCTCATCGTTTGTTTTGACGATTCTACACCACAGGTATTTCGCCAACACTCCGCAACTCTGTCGAGCCACGGGGATAAATCATCGAGGAGCGCTGCATGGGGGACCTGGTCGGTTCTCCATCAGCACCAGCAGCCATCATCCATCCACTGCTGGTTGAAGGCCGCTTCCATTTATTTTTCGTCTACAAACAAAACACCCGTGGGTTCCCGGGGGTAGATCAAGCGCGGCTTGGAAGAGACGCGGCTCATTTGCGATTCTTGACCAATCGCGCTTTCGGTGAAAATGAGCGCCACTTAAGTGGGGACATCAACGGTGATTAGTTCCACGGATGAACTCACCTCCCCGTGATGGAAACTCCGAATTTCCACCACTATTGGTGACTCGTGCAGGGTTCTTAACTATTACACTATATTTTTTTTTTGTCCACGCACAAAATAAAATGACTCCCGAAAAATCTCATCAGCCACACATCCCATGCAGAAAGTATTGAGACTCAGTGCGCAACTACCGAGAAATCTGACATTTCACCGCCATCGTCGTCATCGTAAGACGCCTTTCTCTATCCCCTCAAACCGTCGCTGTCGTGCGCCCAGCAGCGGCCCGTGAACTCGGTGGATTGTTAAAGCTTCAAGGGGCATGCGGAGAATGTGGCTCTGTGGCCTCGTGATGTATTAAGGGCTACGGACCCGTCGGACCCGAGTTCGAGTCCAGCTCACGGCCACCACCAACACCGGTGACGACTATCCGAACCGGTTCCTGGGCCTCCTCCCCCTAGGTCGACTCAGCCTCAAATGAGTAACCTGGTCGCGGTGTGTAAACAACGCCACTGGGGGAGACAAAGGCGGCCGGGCATGGCGCTGGCCACCCACCCACTATTTGTATTTATGTATTTAACGAGGGACCCCCCCCCCTCTCCCTGTGCGGCACGTGGGTAAACACAGCACTGGCCTGCAAGTGGACCTTCGTCTACCAGTAGGTGGCGATGCTGCTGTTCATTTTGCGACCCAGAGGGTTTTTTTTAACCTGTGGCCCGTGTCCCGGTGTAACTCAGTTGTAAGTCTCCGTGTCTCCGCGTCGAAGTCTGTCTCTGCGTTGTCGCATTTACCTTGCGTTTGTCTCTTCATCTCTGCCGGCCTGAGTCCGCGTGCGGGTGGATCTATCTGTATGCGTATCGATCGCTGTTATCTGCATGACTGTGAGTTCGATTATCTCCCTATCTCCCGTGTGCCAACACGAAACTCTCTTCTCTCCGCATACGGCGTTCGTCTTTTTTTCCTCTCTACCTTCTCTGTCATTTTTTTGTTTCTCTCTTATTGTTATTTTATTATTTCTGTCATTGTTATTCTTTATGATTGCTCATTTATTGTTCTTTTATTATCGCTCTTATTGTTATTTAATTAGCCCTCTATGATTGTTACTTTATTATTTCTGTTATTGTTATTTTATCATTTCTCTATTATTGTTACATTCTTATTTTTCTCTCTATCTCTCGCTGTCTCTCTCTCTCTGTGATTCCATTCACCCGTGCCGTCTCCGTGCCTCTCGTGCCGCACCCTAAGGACGTAGGTGCACGCGTGTGCGTGTGTGCAAGTTCTCGCGCGGAGCGGTGGTGCAGCGGTTAGCGCGCTGCAACCACGAACCCCGGGGCCCACAAGTTCGATTCCCGCTCACGGCCAACACCGGCGACGAATATCTGCACCGGTCCTGGGCCTCCCCTAAGTCGACTCAGCCTCAAATGAGTACCTGGTGCGGTGTGTAGTAAACGTCGCCACCGGCGAGACAAAGGCGGCCGGGCGTGGTATTGGCCACCCACCCCCTCGTATGCCGTGCCAGCCTTCATAGGTGCTCGCTAACAGCACTTGCCCCTACAGTCAGTTACAGGCTATCCGGGGCATCTTTGTCTTTGTAAGTTCTCCCACTGACCTCTGTGTAAACAGCACACTGGGCACAGGGAGCCGGGGCACAGGCGTCAGCCGGGCGTGGCGCCCAGGAATGCGCACGCGTGGAGTGTAAAGCAACGAGGACTCCGGAATCAGACGCAGAGACGCCGTGGAGCCCAGTCTCGGCCTGATGAGCTCTCGGGGGCCCACGGTGGGAGGGGCGGGGAGGGGAGGGCAATTATTCTGATCGGTCAGTGCTCTGCACTATTCGGCTGTAATTAAGCGTCACCCATCCCCGCCCGTACCTCTAAAGAAGACAACATTTTGCAAACCAAGGTTACGATCCCATTCCAGCTGCCACTTCTTCCCCCGCAAGCCCGCCCCAGGCCACGGATAACATCCGCACTTCACCAAACCCGCAATTGACCATCGTGGTGAAGTATGGCCAAGCAAAACCCATAACCCGCGCGGCGTGGGGGGGCCTTTAATTTTTAGCAGTGGATTGGGAACGGTGCCATTTGTGTGTGTGTGGTTTTTTGTTGTAAAGAACCAGCTCAATACATCATACTTTTGTGGATTTGGTTGGCAGTCTCCTCGTCGCTATCGTTGATTTATAGCTTTGTGCCGGATGTGTTTGCCGTGGTGTTATGGTTGACACGGTGGACGTGCAGTGCGTAGCCCACCGGTTCGATTCCATCTCCCGGGCAAGTTTCTTAAATCCCCCCACCCCGCACGCAAACCCCTTTGTCCACCCAGGAGTATAGCTTTGCACATCAAAAGCAGTTGATCGGTTTTATGGATCAAAGCGTGGCTACTCTCAGCCCTTCCACGAAGTCCGTTCGGTGTTGGAAGAGTCGGCCGAGCACCCTCTAAACCAGCCGCAAGTCACGTGGATACGAGACGGTGGCCCCTAAATAACGCCACCGAGGAATAGTTAAAGAGCCGCCGTGGACCAACCCCCCTGCTCTCAGGTAGAGAGAGGAGCTTGCGCCAGCGTCCCCCTCGGCGTGGAGGCCCTTCCGCCTAGCAGTTGTCTCGAGCGAGCGCATTGCGGGGCTGCACCTTGGCCTCCTTTTGATCGCACCGAGTCGCTCCCTGTTGGACAATGCCGAGGAGCAACATTTGCGTGCGCCTCGCCCGCGCGCTCAGCTTTAAGTCGCAACGCAAATACCCAATAAGCGGCCCGGAGGATCTCTCTCTCTCGAAAATCCCCGCGCTTAGAACCCTCCCTCCGCCGCATTCCTAACCCGAGCTCGGACCCGGGCCGGGGTTTCGCTTCGTCCAGCACCGTCTGAGCCCCCCCTCCTCCCCTCCACTGTGCGCGCGTCATCTGATATCCCTCCTCCACGCGTGTGTATTGTATAAAGTGGACAAAGTGTGCTCCGTGTTAAATTAAATAATTGCCTACAAGAAGTTACGTCTCCAAGTCAGCCACTACACCTGTATACATCGCCACTGGAGAGACAAAGGCGGCCGGGCGTGGTGCTGGCCACCCACCCCCTCGTGTGCCGTGCCGGCCTTCATAAGAAGCTCGCTAACAGCACTTGCCCCAACAGTCTGTTAAGGCTATACGGGGGATCTTTATCTTTATATACAGACACTGTGCGATCATGACTGTAGAGAAGGATGTAAGTATTAAATCAGCTCGCTTGCAGCTGACATGTGTATAGGATTGTTACATCGCAGTGTCGGTCGTGATGAGAGATGGCCACGGCTTAAGGCTTATCCAGCAGTGGATTGATCATAGCTGGTCATGATGATGATGACGATGATGGGGAAATTCATATTCCTGCAAGAACGGAAAGGTGTGTGCAGACATATATATACCTCCACTCATAATCTACTGCTCGATGGAGGCCTTCTCCACACACCGTGTCGATCACGGTTGTGGTAAGGGCGAAGTGGGGGAGCCAGGGCCGCTTACGATATTACTCGCCACTGACGTTAGCCGTGGCCGGATAGTTAAACCGAAGTGGATGCGGTTCAGATCGAAGCGTCCAAACCTTTGCGCCTCTGCTATAGGCAACATCCACCACCTACGATCCTCTGGATCAATCCGTAGCCCACGTGGATACGCATCGTGCAGTGGTGGCTTAGCACGTGGCCTATAATCCAGCCCTGTGGAGGAGAGGGTTGCTGGATCGCACACCTCTTGTGAAACTCCCTTCCACGTGGCGGTCGAGGAAGTTTCCATATACCCTGGCTCGCCAGTGTGAACTAATCTCCATCTGTATCCATCTGTACTGGGGTGGGGGGGGCGTGATAGAGTGTGGCCACCCTGTCGCGCGTGGGGTATTGCTCCGGATTCCCAGATTGCCTCCCACTTGTACAATAAACACAACTCGCCATTGAGGCTGAACACATCTTTAAATAAAAACCCAATGAAGTGACAGGACCCTGCTGAAAGAGTCATACGACTATGTGCGGCTCTGCTGGATGGGTAAACACGTACATGGGGTTTAGTAGAAATGAATGAGGGTGATGATGAAATATTGCCATTAAAGACGGCAATTCATTTTACCCCGCGGCACAGATGCCCTGTGAGACGTCATTCACAAAGAGCACCAACAGAAGACTCAATGCATCGTCAGCGTGTGTCTGTACTCAACCATCAGCGTGTGTCTGTACTCAACCATCAGCGTGTGTCTGTACTCAACCATCAGCGTGTGTCTGTACTCAGCCATCAGCGTGTATCTGTACTCAGCCATCAGGGTGTGTCTGTACTCAACCATCAGGGTGTGTCTGTACTCAGCCATCAGCGTGTGTCTGTACTCAACCATCAGCGTGTGTCTGTACTCAGCCATCAGCGTGTATCTGTACTCAGCCATCAGGGTGTGTCTGTACTCAACCATCAGCGTGTGTCTGTACTCAACCATCAGGGTGTGTCTGTACTCAACCATCAGCGTGTGTCTGTACTCAACCATCAGGGTGTGTCTGTACTCAACCATCAGCGTGTGTCTGTACTCAACCATCAGCGTGTGTCTGTACTCAGCCATCAGGGTGTGTCTGTACTCAACCATCAGGGTGTGTCTGTACTCAACGATCAGCGTGTGTCTGTACTCAACCATCAGCGTGTGTCTGTACTCAACCATCAGGGTGTGTCTGTACTCAACCATCAGCGTGTGTCTGTACTCAACCATCAGGGTGTGTCTGTACTCAACCATCAGCGTGTGTCTGTACTCAACCATCAGCGTGTGTCTGTACTCAGCCATCAGCGTTTGTCTGTACTGTGCCATCAGCGTGTGTCTGTACTCAACGATCAGCGTGTGTCTGTACTCAGCCATCAGCGTGTGTCTGTACTCAGCCATCAGCGTGTGTCTGTACTCAGCCATCAGCGTGTGTCTGTACTCAACCATCAGGGTGTGTCTGTACTCAACCATCAGGGTGTGTCTGTACTCAGCCATCAGCGTGTGTCTGTACTCAGCCATCAGCGTGTGTCTGTACTCAACCATCAGGGTGTGTCTGTACTCAACCATCAGGGTGTATCTGTACTCAACCATCAGCGTGTGTCTGTACTCAGCCATCAGGGTGTGTCTGTACTCAACCATCAGGGTGTGTCTGTACTCAACGATCAGCGTGTGTCTGTACTCAACCATCAGCGTGTATCTGTACTCAGCCATCAGGGTGTGTCTGTACTCAGCCATCAGCGTGTGTCTGTACTCAGCCATCAGCGTGTATCTGTACTCAACCATCAGCGTGTGTCTGTACTCAGCCATCAGCGTGTGTCTGTACTCAGCCATCAGCGTGTGTCTGTACTCAGCCATCAGCGTGTGTCTGTACTCAACCATCAGGGTGTGTCTGTACTCAACCATCAGGGTGTGTCTGTACTCAACCATCAGGGTGTGTCTGTACTCAACCATCAGCGTGTGTCTGTACTCAACCATCAGCGTGTGTCTGTACTCAGCCATCAGCGTTTGTCTGTACTGTGCCATCAGCGTGTGTCTGTACTCAACGATCAGCGTGTGTCTGTACTCAGCCATCAGCGTGTGTCTGTACTCAGCCATCAGCGTGTGTCTGTACTCAGCCATCAGCGTGTGTCTGTACTCAACCATCAGGGTGTGTCTGTACTCAACCATCAGGGTGTGTCTGTACTCAGCCATCAGCGTGTGTCTGTACTCAGCCATCAGCGTGTGTCTGTACTCAACCATCAGGGTGTGTCTGTACTCAACCATCAGGGTGTATCTGTACTCAACCATCAGCGTGTGTCTGTACTCAGCCATCAGGGTGTGTCTGTACTCAACCATCAGGGTGTGTCTGTACTCAACGATCAGCGTGTGTCTGTACTCAACCATCAGCGTGTATCTGTACTCAGCCATCAGGGTGTGTCTGTACTCAGCCATCAGCGTGTGTCTGTACTCAGCCATCAGCGTGTATCTGTACTCAACCATCAGCGTGTGTCTGTACTCAGCCATCAGCGTGTGTCTGTACTCAGCCATCAGCGTGTGTCTGTACTCAGCCATCAGCGTGTGTCTGTACTCAACCATCAGGGTGTGTCTGTACTCAACCATCAGGGTGTGTCTGTACTCAACCATCAGGGTGTGTCTGTACTCAACCATCAGCGTGTGTCTGTACTCAGCCATCAGGGTGTGTCTGTACTCAACCATCAGCGTGTGTCTGTACTCAACCATCAGCGTGTGTCTGTACTCAACCATCAGGGTGTGTCTGTACTCAACGATCAGCGTGTGTCTGTACTCAGCCATCAGCGTGTGTCTGTACTCAGCCATCAGCGTGTGTCTGTACTCAGCCATCAGCGTGTGTCTGTACTCAACGATCAGCGTGTGTCTGTACTCAGCCATCAGCGTGTGTCTGTACTCAGCCATCAGCGTGTGTCTGTACTCAGCCATCAGCGTGTGTCTGTACTCAACCATCAGGGTGTGTCTGTACTCAACCATCAGGGTGTGTCTGTACTCAGCCATCAGCGTGTGTCTGTACTCAGCCATCAGCGTGTGTCTGTACTCAACCATCAGGGTGTGTCTGTACTCAACCATCAGGGTGTATCTGTACTCAACCATCAGCGTGTGTCTGTACTCAGCCATCAGGGTGTGTCTGTACTCAACCATCAGCGTATGTCTGTACTCAACCATCAGCGTGTGTCTGTACTCAACCATCAGCGTGTGTCTGTAAGTTGCAGTGCCACCTTTGGCTCTAAGTGCCAGAGCGAGCGTATTCAGAATGCCTGACGGTAACCGTGCCTCTCCCCCTACTCCTAGCCCCAGCTTTACGACTAACCCTACCCCTACCCTTTAACCATTACGCCTAATCCCACCCCGACCCCCCATCTCTCACATCTCTGACCCGACTAAGATAACCTAATCTAAGCCCTATACCTACCTCTGTCCCGAGCCCTAACCCTAAACATTAAACACCTACCCCCGACTCTATCCCGATAACTACCCACGTCTAAACTGCCCCTACATCAAATCCCAACTCCCACTGCTAGACCTATACCTGTAGCTTGAGTCATACTGCCTGCACCCCAATCCCCTAATTCCCCGATACTATAGGCGCTGACCAACCCAGCCCTAAAGCTGAACAATGCGCAGGTCCCACGTTTTCGCCTTAAATGGAAGTGGTTGGGGCTCAGAATGCGAGCCGCTCACGGCGAGGAGCGCATACATCATTCATGAGAGGTAAGGGAACACCTGAGTGACCCCCTCCCTCCCTCTCTCTCTCGCCCCGCTCCCCCACCGCCTCCATCAATCACACACTCACACGCTCACCCACCAACCCCCCTTGGCCGCACGCCCCCGTGGGAGGGGGCGAAAGAGACGTACCACTTGCGGCTTCTCGGACCAATGGCAGGGCCCATTCACGTGTCACTCGGGCGGTGTATGGGGAGGGGGAAGGCCCCCGACACGAGCGATTTGTGGCCACGCGCCGCTTATAAAAATGTTGCGCGCAAACTCTGGCCCCGCGGTTTTGCGTTTCTCGCCGAGCCACCCGCACACTCAACTTTCAAACTCACCCTCACTCTGCTCACTCACCTCTCCCTCTATTCCCATTCAGAACCACCCGCCAGGTCTATCCACCACCACCACCACCCCTCCTCCTCCTGCAGCGCACGCTCAACAAGCGCTCCGAATTTAATCTTACCCAGCCAAACACCAAATTGACTCCCCGTCGACCAATGGCTTCCACGAGGTCCTCCACAGTGCGCAGCAGCTCCACCAGGATCAGCGTGGGCGGCGGCAGCGGCGGCGGCTCGCGTGGCTTCAGCAGCACCTCGCTGTCCGCCGGGGGCCGCTCGGGAGGGCGCAAGGGAGTCCTCTCGTCCGCCAGCTTCAGGAGCGGCGGCGGCGGCGGCGGCGGTTTCGGTGGCTTCTCGGCCTCCTCGGCAGCGATGCTGAGCGGGCCGCCCCCGGAGATTGACCGCAGCATCCTTCCCGTGCGCACCCAGGAGAAGGATCAGATCAAGGGCCTCAACGACCGCTTCGCGAACTTCATCGACAAGGTGAGCGGAGCGGGGTGCACCCCTCCACCGGCACCTGTGCGTGTTGGGAATAGCACGGCACCTGTGCGTGTTGGGAATAGCACGGCACCTGTGCGTGTTGGGAATAGCATGATACCTGTGCGTGTTGGGAATAGCACGGCACCTGTGCGTGTTGGGAATAGCATGATACCTGTGCGTGTTGGGAATAGCATGATACCTGTGCGTGTTGGGAATGGCACGGCACCTGTGCGTGTTGGGAATGGCACGGCACCTGTGCGTGTTGGGAATGGCACGGCACCTGTGCGTGTTGGGAATGGCACGGCACCTGTGCGTGTTGGGAATGGCACGGCACCTGTGCGTGTTGGGAATGGCACGGCACCTGTGCGTGTTGGGAATAGCACGGCACCTGTGCGTGTTGGGAATAGCATGATACCTGTGCGTGTTGGGAATGGCACGGCACCTGTGCGTGTTGGGAATGGCACGGCACCTGTGCGTGTTGGGAATAGCATGATACCTGTGCGTGTTGGGAATGGCACGGCACCTGTGCGTGTTGGGAATGGCACGGCACCTGTGCGTGTTGGGAATGGCACGGCACCTGTGCGTGTTGGGAATGGCACGGCACCTGTGCGTGTTGGGAATAGCACGGCACCTGTGCGTGTTGGGAATAGCATGATACCTGCATATGATGAGGATAGCATGATGACTGTAAAATAGCATCCGTGTTCAAGTTTAGCTCCCTTCTGTGTCTCCACATCGGTGCCGCCATGGTTTTCCAGAACAATATCATCCAGCGGCATTTATTTAAGCAAACTGGTTGCTGCTGAGTAAATATTGGCCTGGAAAGTCAAAAAGTAGTCCGATGGCACTGAAAACTAATTTTATTGAAGAGTCATTGTCACTTAACCTTGCAGATCATAGCGGAGACTCCGTGTTGACATTCGTACTTCACGTCGCTTGGGGGACAATAAGAGACCCCCTCTCGGAGTCTTAGTTGGGCTCTCACCTGCTTTGAGAATAGAATCGACGCATCGATGAATGCGTTTGCAACACTGCGATGGTGATAATGATGATGACGACGTTGTCGTGGGTAACTTTGGGCACGTGGCCGTCCGTCGTGTCGTGGCCACATGAATTATAAATCAAGCAGCTGGTGTTGAACCAATAGAGGGATGGGGGACAACAACAACAACAAACTTGACCGCATGTTTGGCGCTTGGCCGAGGGCGGCTAATTGTGAGGGCACGAGTTAGGGGTTAGATTTGGTTGGTCTCGGAGTGGCCTCCCTCGTCCACATTTCAAGCGGAGAGGCACCACAGATAGCACGGGGCTCTCTTTTTTTTGCATCTGTTGGCCGAACGCGTGTAAGTAAAGAAAAACGAACTGTATATAACGTGTCGCGTGTCTATTTCTAGAAGCCTTCTGTGTAACATTATTCATATTCGATTGAAGATTCCCTCCCTCCCTCCTCCTCCTCCCAGAATTGAAGAAATCGCTTTCATCTGCACCGATTTAACAATAGTATCAGCCGTGCTCTTCTCCGCGTCTATTTTTGGTCGCAACACGTGCGCACGACGTGCCCACAACGTTGGCTCCACCGACAACGAATTTGTCGTTGCGGTTAATTTCGTTTGATGGAAAGTCGCACCCCTTCAATTAAAATATTAACCGCTGCCTACCCTCTGGCGGTCGCCGATGCGTCGGCCACGTGACTATGACGGGACGGACCACACCGCACTACCCGCGTGCGCTGCGCGTCGTGCCCAGCTGTCGATTTTTGCCGCGTAAAATTTTTTGTTTGTGCCACCACGTTTGCAAATGACGCGCATTGCGATCGATGGGGACGTTCACGCGGACGATTTCGATTCCCCGTGAACTTTTCGCCAACGATCGACTGCGCCGGGCCAGTAACGGCATTGCCGACAGCGGCGGCGAGAGTGTGAGCGGGGTAGATATGGTGGCGGTGGTGTGTCGTCCGAATCGTTTGAAACACCGCCCACCACTTCCCCGGTAAAGCTGCTGCCCCCGTTGAACCCGTCGTAATGTCATCAATTACAACGAAAAAGACCTCGGCGTTACATTAACGCTGTTGCAAGGCAGCAGGCAGCTTTTAAGCACCCGGCAGTACCTCCTAAGGTCTCACGCCAACAACTCGGCAACCTCACGCTGTTCACAGTCGTGACAACTCGGCTATACCCTGCCACCGGTAGGTAGCAGCGAGTCTTCCAACTCGCCTGCGCGTAGTAACAGCTGTCTACGATGGCTCGGGAACTGCCGTCTATAATGCTGCTGCTGCTGCTGTTTCAGGTGCGCTTCTTGGAGCAGCAGAACAAGGTTCTGGAGGCGCAGTGGAGGGCCCTGCACGAGCGCGGAACGGTGGTGAGCGGCCTGGACGGGCTCTTCGATGCCTACACCAGGGGCCTCAAGCAGCAGCTGGAAAGCCTGTCCAACAACAAGCTGGGCCTGCAGAACGAGCTGCAGGCCATGCAAGGCCACGTGGAGGACTTCAAGACCAAGTAAGGGCCCGCGGTCCAGTGCACGCACGCACGCGCGCGAGATGGGAATTGAAGGGGCAAGCAAAGTTTGCCTCGTGTGTATGTGGTACCGGCGTTTCCATAAGTGTCATTCATTCGAATAAAATGTGGGGTTGTAATAGAATATGAATGTGCTCGATATGAAAAAAATAAGAAATTCTGTTACCCTACTCGTGCATAGAATGCATCGTATATTATGTCAATTAAATGCACTGTAGGACACAGTGGGTAAGTTGTATTTACGGGCTATGAAGAAGGGCTATTGCACTAAACGTCGCCTTTTAAATAGTGGTATTGGCGAGTGTGCTGAGTGTTTTTTTTGTACTGTTAACAGTGTTTGCGCACCACTGCCAACGCAGCAGCATCGCCACATAATCTGTTTAAGGATAAGTGCTAAGTCAATATGAGCCACGCGGGACAAGTTACGTTTGACCACAGTCAGTCACAGTTTTAAAAAAAGTTGCTCGACCAATTGAAATGTAAGAACAGTGCAATTAGAAAAAAGTCCGGTCGATTCTCTGAACCTCTGGTGAGATGATAAAGCATCCTGTGCAAGCTTCCACGAGACCTACAAAAAAAATCTTCCCTCCGAGAAAACATTCTCAGGATTTACTTTACGGGCAGGATATGCACGCTATTATTATATTAATAATTACTATTATTTTAAATGTGTCACGTTCACACGCACACCTGGACACTGAGCCATGCCTCTTCGCATGGCACTCACCTGTCTGTGTTTAGAGACATCAACCGAGGTGCGTAAGGCGAGATGCGGCCCACCTTGAGTAACTCTAGACGAGTGTTTGTTCAGCCCTGATCGTGAAAGCGAGAAGGGAGTGGCTCATACCAGACGGCGATCCCGCATGTTGATTCAGACGCTACTTGCGTTTACTCAGCCTTGTACACTGTACAATTCTGCAAATCATCCCGGGAATTATTCACTGGTGAACGCTCGCCTGTCAAACGCCGCGGCAGTCGTAGAGGTCGTCCATGACCATACTTCACCCAACGGTGAACAGTGGCGGGTGACTTGCATCCCACTGGAATTTTTGCACACAGCGTTGATATGTGGTGCTTTTTCTGGAAGACTTTGCTGTTTTTTTCCCTGGATTCTTTCTGTTGCGCGTAGTCACTTTAAGATGTTTCTTGTTCTTTTTTTTTAGTTTGTTGCGGTTGCACCCGATTCAACAGCCGAATGGCTCACAGGGCTATACCAAATAAATTAACTGAACTAACTGAGTGAGTTGTCTGACAAGCAGGGCGTCCATGACCGGTTCAAATATGATTCGCCACTGGATTATATTTGAGCCATGGCCCTGAAAATCCAAGTAGGGCCGGCCCAGGTTCATAGCGCAGTGCGCTAACCACTGCGGCACCACTCCCCGACACCTATAAAGACCAGTGGTTCTTAACCTGGGGTGCACGCACCCCCTAGGAGTGCGAGATGCCCTTTCTGGGGGGTGCGAGACATACCACCCTTTTTTGGGGTGTACGAGACATGCCAGATTTTTTTCATATAAATAATCGAAAAAACAAAATAAGCACGGGGCACGTCAGTACAAATAGTTTGTTTCATCAAACCCTCTGTGTGTGTTTATTAACGTGTTTTAACGATGTAGAACCAAAGCAGTGCAAGGCTGCGGTAAAGGTTAAGAACCACGAGTATAAACTGTATGTAATATTGCGGTAATGTGTAGCAGCAGCAGCAAGTCTCCACACTTGGCAGGTCCAAAGATAGCACGGAATAAAATTAGGAATAGCAATAATTTACAACAGGAAAGCCTCACTGAGTCTCGAGACTTTTCTCAAGAGGGTCCTGCTTGCGGGGGTGGGGGCGGAGGGGGTGTTTGGCCAATCCTCTTATCAAGTATTTATTTGGCTTGTTGTGTGGGAGGAAACTGGAGAACCCGGAGCAAACCCAGCAGCTAAACGAGCGGATGACGCACAGAAGGATTGAGTCCATTGCCAAACTGCCACCCCTTGGGGCACCTCGCAGCCGCTAGGGTGGGTGAGCCTCGTGCGGCAGAGCGTGGTTCTCAACACAAAAAAAGTGTTGAGTCTCTTGAGAAACACTTTTTTGTGTTGTGGGGCAAGTGCAGCACCACGGCCGGCCGCCTTTGTCTCTCGAGCGGTGATGTTTGCACACCGCACCAGGGACTTATTTGAGGCCTGACCACAACACCCCCTCCCCACATCTGGCGAACGCAATGATGCCCTTAATTAGTTATATCCAATTACAATCAACATCTGTGTGTGCTATTAAAGCTACGCCGGTTGGACGCATGATGCGTTTAACTTTCGCTGACTAAACCATGTTAATACACGGTTAAATGCAACGCAAATGTTGTAATTACATTGTAAATGTATGTACACAGCGGGGGAGGACACGTGCGGAAAAAGAGTGTACCCTAGTATACACCTTCGTCAATGTGATTATAACCCTTCAACCCGCACTGGTCAGACGTGGTGAAGTATGGTCAAATTGCCCCCTCCCCCCTCCACCACCGCCCGCACGGCATGGGGGAGAAAGGCCCCTTCAAAGTGTTGGGTTAACACTAAAAAGAAAATAAATGTAGCTCGATTTAACAACCCGACCAACTCGGTTTAGCAAATATCTTTCCATTAAAACCGATCCACCCGTGCTGGATATCAACCACCGCACTCACTGCCAGACCAGGCTCGCTGCTCTCTCTTCCCTCCATCCCATCGTCATTCACCCCCACACCCCGAGCTCTCATAATAAACAACAACAACAACAATAATACTCTTCGGGTCTTTCGGTAAAGTCACGTAGATAGAGAAATAATTTTTAAAAATCACAACAGTTTCGATAGCAACACAAGCAATCGTCTTCAGATGAAAAAATACAGCAGGCAAACTGCCGAAGCAGGATAAATATATTGTTTTTATACCCACGTGACTTTACCGAAAGACTCAAAGAGTATGAATTCCTGCAGTCACGAAAGCTTTAAGTCAACAATAATCATCATCGCAATAGCCTTGGGCCAACTTTCTTTGTTACCGGTCCGCTTGACCGGTGTGGTACTTTCTAAACCTTGTAAAAAAATAAACGCAACGAAAACTGACTTCTGATCGTTACCAGCGGCCAGGCAATCGCTCTCCTCCTGCATCATCTGCATAACACAGACAAAGGTCACCCATATAGGCCTGAGCATATTGTTGGGGCAAGTGCTGCGTAATCGAGACAAGGCGTACGCACTGAAGCACCACCACCGCCACCCGCATCCTCCTCTCTCTCTCTCTCTCACCCTGCCCTCCCACAATCGGTGCCAAGTGATGAGACGCATCCACGCACAGCGGGTCGCATTCTTTGAGCGCTTACGTTGCGAGTCGTGACGATCGGCGAGTGTTTATGCGGGACCCCCACGCTTGCCAACACCAGCGTTGCCCTCTTCCTCCCGCACCTCCGATGAGCACGGTGGGCTACGTGCGGCGCGGATGAAGTTCAACAACAACGCGTGGGCATAGCGCGCCGCGTTACGAACCCGGCGAACCGAGCTCGATTTCCAGCTCACGGCCAACACCGGTGTGACGTACTCTTTGGTTCTTTCGGTAAAGTCACGTGGGTGAAAATAAAATATCTGAACCGGTCCTGGGTCTACCCTAGGTCGACTCAGCCTCAAATGAGTATCCCTGGTGAGACAAAGACGGCCGGGCGTGGTGTTGGCCACCCACCTCCCCCGTGTTCAGTGCCGGCCTTCAAGTGTTACTCGCTGACAGCACTTGCCCCAACAGTCTGTTCAATGCTTTTGGGGGGGGGGGTGGGGGTGTAGGTGGCGGGATATTTGTCTTTTGTCATACATCTGGGCCCGTCCCGCGACCTCCTGCCAAGCGAGCACTTCGAGACACTTCCAAGTGCACCTCGCCTGGCACTGACGTCAACCTGTTGCTGGAGACGTGGAGTTGGGGGAGGGCCGGTGTGTTGCTCAGCGTTTCCATCGCCCATTGTGTCCGTCGTTTCCATTTGCCCATTGTGTCCGTCACAGGTACGAGGAGGAAATCAACACTCGCACTGAGCGGGAGAATGAGTTCGTGGTCGTCAAGAAGGTGAGTTGCACCGGGCTGCTCTCTACCGAGCCTCTGCCACAATCCCCATGTTCTGTCTGCAGGTACATTCAGGTATGCACAGTGGGCACGGTAGGTGGGTAGGGTAGGGGGAGTCACAGGCGGGCGCATCTGCCGGCCGTCTCGGTCAGTCAGCCCATGGTGGCACCTGGCGCATGTCCCGTGGACCTCCTCCTGAGGTCAGCGAGCCTTCGACACTTTCACGTGGGCCTCAAAGTGCACCTTGCCTGGCACAGGCGCCGCGGTGACGTCGCCGTCACTTGGTGGCGGGATTGGCGGGCATTGGTATCGGTATACACGGCACGTGCCGAGAAAATAATTGCAGCGCAGCACCTTTACCTTATTTAAATATTTATTTAACGTGCCATGGCTAAATCCCTCTGAACGTGCACGATTATCGTCAGAAGCCAAGCAGGTTTTGATCCCGGCTGGTGCTTTAATGGGCCGCGAGGCGTGGCAAAGAAAGATCGGCAGTGCTGAGTGTCACTGCGAGTCTATTCCCCCACGCATCCCCAACTCCCTCGGCCTCCCACTTCCAGCCCCGCCCACTCCCCCCCCCAGCCTCACTTCCCTCCCCTAGCGTCCACGCAGCGCTCCCCCTACACCACACCCCCACCCCCTCCTCCCTCTCCCCCTTGCCCCTCCCCCCTATCTCACCTATATAACCTCTTACCACGGCATCTCTCTCACTTCAGCAAAAAAAATATTGCTACGGCTTTCCCACCTGATGATGATTGCTTGTGTTGCAATCTAAACGTCGTGATTTATTTTATTTTATACCTACCGGACTCTACCGAAAGAACCAAAGAGTATGGATTCCTGCAGTCACGAAAGCTTCAAATCAAGATTGAGTGTCACCCCCTCGTGCCCAGCGTGGGTGCTGGGTTTTCTCCACGTGTTCTCCACTCTCTTCCCCCCCCCCCCCCCCCCCCCCACGAAGCCGAACGACTAATGACAATCAGTTGATTCTAGATTTGAAGCTTTCGTGACTGCAAGGATTCATACTCTTTGGTTCTATTCGGTAAAGTCACGTAGGTAAAAATAAAATAACAAAAATCCAGAGGACAGCTCCAACGCTGTCCTCTGGACAGTCCGGTCCCTTCACCTGATGAAGGCCGCTTGTGTTGTGGCCGAAACGTCGTGATTTTTGTTATTTTTACCTACGTGACTTTACCGAATAGAACCAAAGAGTACATTCAGTTGAGCCAAGCAGCCCAATGTAGCACGATGCCCTCCTTGAAATAATCTTGAGACTCAGGCGTCCCTGGGTAAACAAATGACATTACTTGGTAAGATAACAAGATATATCGTTTAGTTTTATTCGTATATATTTTTTAAGTGATTTGTTCACTTTTCCCATTCTTTGCACTCCTATCGTGCTTTTTGTGTATTGTTTTGTTGTTGTAACATTCTGACCTGCCCCTACTGGATATCTGTGAAAAAGAGCCTTACATCTCATGGGATTCCTCCAGTATATAAAAAAAAAAAATCATAACTATCATTATTTCCACAGGGCCCTTCTCTGGCAAATGCTATCTCGTCCATCCATCCCTCCCATCCTCCATACCAGGCAATCTATCACCCCTAGCCTCGCCTCCCACTCACCTCCCGCACGACGTAGCTCACGGCCAGCACTTAACCACAAACATAACGCAGTCGGGATTGGAATTCGGCACACTGCTCAGTGTCAACCGCCTGTGGCTTAGCTACGTGGGACGTTTGGCGCTTTGATCGTGGACACGCATCGGCCACACGCGGAGGGGGGAGGCGGCAATGGCACAGAAAGCTAACGGAGACTTGCGTTCACATTTTATTCAGAGTATTTGGAATGCTTTAAATTTCCACATGACAGCCGTCATTTGTGGCCAGGTCGCTTCTGAAAAAGAAGCTAATAGCTCACAGTGAGCTTTAGCTGGTAAAATACAATTTTTGTTTTATTTCTATATATTTATTTTAGTGATTTGCTGACCTTTCCTCTACTTTTCACTCCTATCGTGTTTTTTTTGTATTGTGTGTTGCTGTAACATTCTGACCCGCCCCTACTGGACATCTGTGAGAAAGAGCTTTACAGCTTACCGAATTCCTCAGGTATAAATACAAATTGTGATTTTGACAACCGGGGTTTTTTTTTTGCACAGATTAGCAACGCGGCGGACCTTTCGTTCAAAACGAGAACCCCGCCACTCGTGCCAGCGTCTGGAGCAAAATGTAGCGGGCTGCAAAAAAATACGTGGCTTCCACGATGATTTCTCAGGGTGGGAGTCGGAGGGTAAAGACCCACGACTAAACACCCACGCTGTGCCGAAGTAGCGTCTTTGGCATGGGCTGTAGCGCAATGAATGGAATGAGGGCCCCTGTCCAATTCTGCCCCCCCTCCCCCCACCACTACCACGCCCTCCCCACCTCTGCATTGCCTGGCGACTGGGAATCCCCTCCGACCCATTGGCCCCCGGTGCAGTTGCACCGCCTGCACGCTCGATAGCTCCGACAATGGCTTAGATTCTCGCCGTTTATTTTTTTGTGGGGCGCAGGTAGGCTGGAGCAGGTGGCTCGTGACTGCAGCGGCAGTGGGGTTAGTCGTAGTATCAGTAGAAGAAGCCACGGCGAGAGATACTAAGATCTGCTCGCCGCACCATGACTGACGCGGCTGGAATCAAGCCCCGGTGAAAACCACAGCTCCCACCGGTCAATGCCGAACTGTTGCCGTTCCTAGGACGCACACAGCCACGTGTAAAGAACGCACAACAACAACAAACCCATCAACAGTTCCTAAGAACTGCATTGTGGTCCTCTTGTCTGAGGACACAATCAGCATACATTTGAAGGAGAGTAGCCCACTGGCAGGCAGCAGCGATACAGACGCGGATAACTGCAGACCGGTTCCGTCCTCATTAAGACTCATCGGCACGGTATAGTCACGAGTGCTCACTGCTGCAAAGTCCGCCTCTGGAAACCACTGACACACTCTGGGGTTCGTGTTCTTTGGTTCTTTTGGTAAAGTCACGTGTTCGTGTTGGCTGCTGCCGCTGGTGCTCTTGGTCGGTGTGGAGAGTCTAACTGAGGCTTGGTCTTCGATGGGGGTGGGTAGGATGTGGACGACGCATTCCTCAACAAGGTGGAGCTGGAGGCGAAGCTGGAGGCTCTGCAGGACGAGATCGAATTCCTCAAGAAGATCTTCGCAGAGGTCAGTGGCATTTGACCTCCGCGAGTGGGAGTGTGTGCGCGTGTCTGTGTACGTGGTTCAGTGAGTCGGCGAGCGAGCGAGATAGTGAGCGAGTGAGCAAGCACTTAAGTGGGTGAGCGAGTGAGTCAGTGAGTGAGAAAGCGGGTCAGAGAGTGAGTGAGTGAGTCAATGAGTCGGCGAGCGAGAGAGTGAGAATGTGAGCAGTTAAGTGGGTGAGCGAGTGAGTCGGTGAGTGAGTGTGTCAGAGAGTGAGTCAATGAGTAGGCAAGCGAGAGAGTAAGTGAGGAATGAAGTGTGTGAGCGAGTGAGTGAGTGGGTCAGAGAGTGAGTGAGTCAATGAGCCATTGGGGCGAACCAGTGAGTTAGTGAGCGATTAAGCGTGTGACAAACGGGTGAGAGAGTGACTGAGTGAGCGAGTCATTGAGTTCGTGAGTGTATGCGTGAGCGGTTAAGCGGGTGAGCGAATGTGCCAGTGAGCAGTGCCGGATTATCCTCGTAGCAAAAGTAGCTACACATGCTACGGGCCCCGCACTTTCAAGGGCCCAGTGCTAAATGCTTTCAAGCTTACAATTCCGGTTCAGTGATTCTGCACTTGCTCTATTACTATAGTACTATACTGCCTTCAACTTTTATGAACGACTGGGTGTTTAAGGTTAGCGATTTGTCGTATTATCTGGCTGTATAGAAAATTAAAAAATACAATTACTTTACTATCCGAGTGAAAAATGTGTTTCAATATTTATTTATCCATTTACTTATTTATTTTTAGGGACCCCTTATAACAAATGCTACAGGCCCCGCACTAGCTTAATCCGGCACTGCCAGTGAGTGAGTGGGAGTAAGCAAGAAAGAGCCGTCGATTCGGCGAGCTAAGACAGACATCGAGCGAGCATGTGCGCTCGCGAACGAACGCGTACACAGGAGCAGGGCAGCGAGAGTTGGTGAGTGAGCCGTGACCACGTGATCACGTGGTCACGTGACAACAATGGGTCCCGAGCAGGGATTAAATGAAATCGCTCCAACTGGTCAAGCTAGATTTTTTGCGTTGAGCCGATTTTAAATACTCTTTGAGAAAAACAGAAACCGTACAATAGACATGGTAAATATATATAAAACGAAACAAATACATCCATTTCGAAATCTAATCCAAGCTGAGCCCTCAATCTCGTGCGTGTGTGTGGGCGGGAGGGCATTGTCACCTGCCTATTGTACACGCGTCCACTATTGAGGAATGGGGCGCGCGTGAGGTCCTCCCACCGCACCTCCGATGAGCAAGGTTGGCTACGTACGGCGCGAAAGAAGTTCAACGTCCACACACGCATAATGCATACGCGAGGCTAGTGCTGCTTTAAACCCCAGCCCAACAACGACTACACTCACGTGACCGAACTTGTCGAGTCTACAGGGTCAAACTCCTCGTCTCCCGTGCGAGAAGCCCAAGTAAACTCCACAATTGACGTCGACCGTCGATGGGCAGAACCCGCATCCGTCGACGTGACGGGGGGGGGGGGCTTTCACGCGCTTGACATTACCAACGAATGAATGCGCTTCGCACGCGAGTGCACGTGGCGGAGGCGAGGTGCGGAAGGCCGCAATGTCCCCTGCGTCCACACGTCCGGGAGGGAGGTTACCGACGCGCTCGGAAAGTCCCGCTCCCAAAAGCTGCCAGCGATGATCGTGGGGGGCGGGGGCTGGGGAGGAGTGGGGGGGGGTTTCTTCGTCCGCACCGATTTAAACGCTCCCTGGCGCCGTCGTGTTCCACCGACGCGAAGGGAGCCACGGGCGGAGTCACCCGAGTGGCGAGACATCGCGTGTCACGCCACCAAATCCACCACCTGGATGAGCATCCCAAACGCGCGATCTTTACATCTCGCACAAGGCGCACACAGAGACAAAGATTCCACCACCCCCAAGCGGAGACTTGTCTCCCCTCCTGCGAAGTCCGTGCACGGCGCGCGAGGGGCACGCTCGCTCGCACGCTGGCGCGCCTGCTGACTCCCTGCCCGTCGCTTGTTGTTGTTGTTGTTGTCGCTGTCGCGACGGAGCAGGAGCTGCGCCAGCTGGAGTCGCAGATCCAGGACACGATCCTGACGGTGGAGATCGACACGAGCCGCAACCTGGACGTGGATGGCCTCATCGCCGACGTCCGCGCCCAGTACGAGGCCATCGCCGCCAAGAGCAAGGCCGAGTCGGACGCCTTCTACAAGAGCAAGGCACGCGGCTAGCGCTCGCCGCACATCCCTCGCTCCCTGCAGGCAGCGCGGCAGAAACAGCAGCAGCAGCAAGCAGCAGCTAGCCAGCAGTAGCAGTAAGGGGCCGTCCATAAGTGACGTCACGCACCTAGGGCGGAGGGGGCGGGGGTCAGACATTTGTGACGATGTGTGGCGAGGGGGGGGTGGGGGTTGAGAAATGTGACGTCACATCAAAATGCGTAATTTTAAATAAATATAGACAACACGTTCTACTTAATTAAATAGACGTTTTAATAAAAGTTTTCTCCTGCAACATCAGAGTGCAGCGCCACATTAAATACGCACTATAATGACAATAGTTTAAAGTGATTTGAAGCATGTTTTATTTTTTTTGGGGGGGGAGCAGAGCTTTGTGACGTCATATTTGAGAGGGGGGTCTGACTTTTTGTGACGTCGTGTGAGAAAGGGGGGGGTCAAAAATCGTCAAAAATCGCGTGACGTCATTTATGGACGGCCCCTAAGAGCAGCATCGACAGCAGAAACAGCAGCAGCAGCAGCAACAGCCAACAGTGGTAACAGCAGTAGTAGCAGCAGCAGCAGCAACAGCCAACAGCGGTAACAGCAGCAGCAGTAGCAGCAGCAGCAACAGCCAACAGCGGTAACAGCAGCAGCAGCAACAACCAACAGCAGTAACAGCAGTAGCAGCAGCAACAACAGCCAACAGCAGTAACAGCAGTAGCAGCAGCAGCAACAGCCAACAGCGGTAACAGCAGTAGCAGCAGCAGCAGCAACAGCCAACAGCGGTAACAGCAGTAGCAGCAACAGCCAACAGCAGTAACAGCAGTAGCAGCAACAGCCAACAGTGGTAACAGCAGTAGCAGCAACAGCCAACAGCGGTAACAGCAGTAGCAGCAGTAACGGCAGCAGCAACAGCGGTAACAGCAGTAGCAGCAACAGCCAACAGCGGTAACAGCAGTAGCAGCAGCAGCAACAGCCAACAGCGGTAACAGCAGTAGCAGCAGCAGCAACAACAGCCAACAGCGGTAACAGCAGTAGCAGCAACAGCAACAGCCAACAGCGGTAACAGCAGTAGCAGCAGCAGCAACAGCCAACAGCGGTAACAGCAGTAGCAGCAGCAGCAACAGCCAACAGTGGTAACAGCAGTAGCAGCAGCAGCAACAGCCAACAGCAATAACAGCAGCAGCAGTAGCAGCAGCAGCAACAGCCAACAGCGGTAACAGCAGCAGTAGCAGCAACAGCCAACAGCGTTAACAGCAGCATCAGCAGCAACAGCCAACAGCAGTAACAGCAGCAGCAGCAACAGCCAACAGCGGTAGCAGCAGCAGCAGCAACAGCTGCAACAGCCAACAGCGGTAACAGCAGTAGCAACAGCAGCAACAGCCAACAGCGGTAACAGCAGTAGCAGCAACAGCCAACAGCGGTAACAGCAGTAGCAGCAGCAGCAACAGATGGTTTCTGTGTATTTTTGTTGTTGGGATTTTCTGATCCGCCCCGACTGGACATCCGTGAAAAAGAGCTTCATAGCTCATCGGATTTTCCCAGGATATTTGGAAGCCGCTGGAGCTGTGCACGTTTAAATGGAGATTGATAACGCATTTCTTTACAACTTATTTTGGTGTTTAGCTTGTTGTCCTTCTCCCGCACCTCTGATTAGCATGATTGGCTATGTACAATGCGAAAGAAGTTCAACAAACATGTAAATATTCTGATTCTGACATCAGCCTGTGCCCAGATGCTTGATGGATCGTTGCATTGCAGGACGGTGGGAGATGATGACGCCCGAGTGAGGCTTACCATCACGGATGACAATGATGATGATGATAGTGTCTAAATTTGCACACTCTTCTCAAACTAATGTGTCACAACCGTATGGGAAGCGGTAGTGCAGCGGTGAGCACGCTGCACCGCAGACCCAGCGACCCGACTTCAATTCCTGCTCACGGCCAACACCGGTGACGATTATCTGAACGGGCCTTGGGCCTCCCCTAGGACGACTCAGCTTCAAATGAGTACCTGGTGCGGTGTGTAGTAAACATCGCCACTGGGGAGACAAAGGCGGCCGGGCGTGGTGCTCACCACCCAACCCCTTCGTGTGCCGTGGCTGCCTTCTTAGGTGCCACTCTCCAACGTGACAACTCTTAACGTTCGTTCGTTTGTAACCGCGTGTCTCGCCCCGTCTCCGCCGCCGTAGTTTGCCGACCTGAACGCGATGTCCGGCAAGGGCGATGACGAACTCCGCCAGAGCAGGAGCGAGATCGCCGACATCAACCGGCAGGTCCAGCGCATCAAGGCCGAGATCGAGGCCCTCAAGAAGCAGGTGCGTGTCGCGACAGATCGCGACGGATCGCGACGGATCGCGACGGATCGTGACAGATCGCTGGCCGCCCTCCGGCGTTGCCCGCGGACGGCCGCCGCCGCCTCGTTCCTCGCCGCTCACGCCGCCTCTCCCCGCCACCGCGGGTTGCACCGCGGCGTTGTTCGGTGTCCGACGTTTAAAGCCCTGCACGTGGCTGGGAAGGTTGTCCGGGGACCGCGGCCTCGAAGTGGGTGACCGGTGGAGCTCCCGGCACGTGGACGAAATTGCCGGGGCTGCCGCGGCTCTTTGTGGTTCTTTCTGGATTCACACCAGCTGATAGGCTGTAAATGTTGTGGCTTTGCTCTCCAACACACCGGTGTGCTGTACTAGTAAAGAATTGTCACGTTCTGTTTACGTGATAAACCTCACTAATTGGCTGTGTCCGGTGGTGGCGGATGTAATATTTACGCGATCTAACCCAAAAAAACCTGCATTATGGAGATATATATGTACATACTTATTTATGCCTATTATTACTCAACACGCCCAATGTTATCACAGCTCAGAAGTTAAGCAGGCTTGAGCCTGGGATGGGTGAACACCAGGGCTTGCTAGGTGTTGTAGGTGGTCATGCTGAGGATTATTTTTCCTTCGACATTAAGCTGCACAAATGATGTTGACCAAACGTGTCAATCCGGGACCCTCCAGATAAAAAAAAAACACATTCATAAAAAATGTTTATAAACTACTCAACTAACTAAACTAAACTTCTTATTTTACCAGGTATGGCCCACTGAGATACATAGCTCGTTCTCAGAAGTGACCTGGTCACAAATGATAGCCCAACGATGTGGCTTATCACGTGGAAATGTAGTAGCCGGAGAAAAATCCACGTGACCACTGGGAGAGACATGCAAACTCAAAATATGCAGGCGTCAGGGTGGGGATCGAACCCACAACCTCCTGTATATCAGACTCTCCGAGGCATTCACGGGTCAATACATTCAAATTAAATAGTTTCTTTTCGATTTAAAGCTTTCGTGACTGCAGGGATTCATCTTCTGGGTTATTTCGGTAAAGTCACATAGAATGGAGATAAAATAATAAAAATAATAATAACAGAATAAAATTCTCTCGACGTTTCGGCCACAACACAAGTAGCCTTCCTCAGGTGAAGAAACAGGACTGTCCGGAAGACAGCACTTGCTCAAGGTTATGTGGAATCCCTCCCCGTAGAGGCGGTTAAATTTCGATTTAAAGCTTTCGTGACTGCAGGAATTCATCTTCTGGGTTTAAATAGTTTCATTCACGTTTAGGAATCGTTTGTGCTGCCGGCCCACCCAGTAGGCGACACTTGTCGCACTTTGAAAGCCAAACTGACGACGGGCCACGATGCCCTCTTGGCGCGTTTCGTCGACGCAGCGCGCCCAGCTGGAGGCGGCCATCGCCGAGGCGGAGGGCCGCGGGGAGCTTGCCATCAAGGAGGCCAAGGAGAGCATCGCCCGCCTGGAGGAAGAGCTGCACCAGGCCAAGCAGGACATGGCCAAGCACGTGCGCGAGTACCAGGAGCTCATGAACGTCAAGCTGGCTCTGGACATCGAGATCGCCACCTACCGCAAGCTGCTGGAGGGAGAGGAGTCCAGGTACACGCGTGCGTTGTCTGTGTGCGCGGGGCTTCAGGCGGCCGGGCGTGGGGCTGGCCACCCACCCCCTCCGTGTGCCGTGCCGGCCTTCATAGGTGCTACTCGCTGACAGCACTTGCCCCAAAAAGTCTGTTAAAGGCTCTACGGGGGACCTTTTATATTTGGGGGGTTTTCTAGATCCCATAATGGGAGCTTCTGTGCCTGCCTACGGTCCATTCTGGGTTTAATCAGACTTGATTGTGTGAGGAGCAAACAGTTCCTTAATAGATCTGGACACAGTCCCATCGGTGAGGTCATTCGGCAGGCGAGGCTACGTTTACCTGGGTTATGTAGCCCGCATGACCACCCACTGCATGCCCAAGCAGCATTTGCTTGGCGGGATAAAGGGGCTAAACGAGTGTAGAATGGGCTCCAAATAAACAGCAGCAGGCGTCAGGGTTGGGATCGAACCCACGACCTCCTGCATACCAGGCGAGGTGTAACAATATAACAATAGGTTTTACCCTTTCTGGAAATAAAACCGGTTCTGTTTTTTGTTTACCTCTGGCTTCAATAAGCCCTCGCCCCTGCAGCATTAGGCTAAACTGGGCTAATAAAAACAACAAACCAAACATACAGTTGGCCAAACATGCCAGTGCTGAAACTTGACCTGCAAATTACTCACTTGGAATCACACACAGTGGCGGCAACAGAAGCAACATCGCCCTCCAACTCCAAAAAAGGCATTGCACGGACCTCCTGAGAAAGACTCTTGCTAATGACCAAGGCTCTCCTGGACAAACAGGCGTAATAATACATCATAAGCAATGTGTGTGCACCTGTGCGTGTGTTGTTGTTATCCACAGGCTGCAGAATGTAACTGCTGGGCTGGCCAACCTGGGTGGCATGGGAGGATATGGAGGCTACAGTGTCTCAAGTAAGCCACAGACTCCCCCCCCCGACCCCTCCCCTCCACCTCTCCTCCACCCCCGCACGGAAAGATAAAATACACCTTCATAAACTGACACTGCGCAGCGATACACAAATGTAAGCTAAAAATCTCTACATTTCCCTTTGGATGAACAGTATATAGAGGGCAAAGGTAACTGCATCTCAGGTCGTCGTTGGGCAACGATGTCCGACGTTTCGCTCCACGCCCTGGGGGAGCTTCTTTTTAGGGACTGAGTTCAGCTTGTCCAGCTCCTCCAGGAGCCGAATTCGATTCCTGCCAGAGGGCTCCCCAGCGTGCCGAGCGAAACGTCGGACATGCCAACGCAACACGCGGTGCGAAGGGGAAATAATGCATCCGCGAGTTGCGTGTCACAACCGCGGAAACCCGGCGCTCGCTGCGGCTCAAAAAACGCTTGCACAATCAGGCAGGGGCAAAAACTAAGGCAGGAAACAAGCCAAACAAGAATGGAGAGATGTTTTGTTTAAGGCAAGTTGAGATATAGCATCTCATCGCATACTGCGTCTCTCTGTGCTGAACAGAAACAGTGGCGAACCACCCATGTGATTGCAGTGACGATCAAAGCATGCCCTGGGGCTGAAGAGGACACGAGCGATTGGCTGTCTTGCTTAACAATAGATTTGTGTTTTTTTTTTTGCTGTCAGCCCGCTACTTAACGATCCGACCAAATTTGTGCGGTCAAGACCCTCCACCACCCGACGCAGCCAAACAAATTAAATATAATTGTCACGTGGGGCCATTTGTTCCTGCTTGGGCTCGCTCAGCCCTCACCGGTGGGTTCAAGAGCGATGCTCGCAGCCAAATCTCGCAGATCAAATACGCGACGTTTGGCTTGAAACTACGGCAAGCATCATCAGGACACGATCCAGGAATATCGACACGCATCTGGTCAGATCAGTGACGTGGCCTAAAACACGACAAAGATCCCCCGTATAGCCTGAACAGACTGTTGGGGCAAGTGCTGTTTGCGAGTAGCACCCATGAAGGTGCTACTCGCTAACAGCACGGCACATGAGGAGGTGGGTGGCCAGAACCACGCCCAGCCGCCTTTGTCTCCCCAGTGAAGGTGTTCACTACACACCGCAGGTAATTATTTGAGGCCGAGTCTACCTAAGGGAGGCCCACGACCGGTTCAGATAATCGTCACCGCTGTTGACCATGAGCGGCAATCGAACTCCGGCTGCCGGGTTAATAGCGCAATGCGCTAACCGCTACACTACAGCCTAAAGCACACACAAATCAATCACCAATCATAATGCCGTCTTGCACAAAAACCCTTACCCGTGAAGCTGACGACGGTCTTGCGTGCCTCGTGTCTCCGACGCGCACGCACACAGCTTCCTACGAGACGTCCAGCAAGAGAAGCTACTAATGCGGAGCCGCTCCCAACATCGCTCAACCCACACCGAGGGCCAGCACGGGACAACCGGTGCAAGACATTGTGGCCCACAGCCCGGGGCGGCTCGGTTTGGCAGTGTGCATTCTGACGTCGCGTCCCACGTCCTTCCCCACGTGTCACTCGCACCCTGCTGGGTCAGTGGTTCCCTACCTGCGGTCGGTGGGCCGACGGTGGTACGCAAAGACTGTCCACGGGGAACCGCCGCAGGTGCACGAACACAGTTAGCAACAACAGCAACAACTCAATGCATTCGTCAATAACACCACCGTGGCCTTAAAAAGAAATATGTAATAGGCTACGCTTCGGGATGACGGCCATTCTTGTGCCATGAAGGGCCGTTGCCCGAAACGTCGCTAATTATTTTTTTGCTTGAGTTGTTTTTGTTGCTTGCAGACACAATTTAGAGTCCCTTTGAATAATAAACAGAGCGGGTGTGGAACCACTGCGTTAGACGAAGTAGTTTTTTTTTTTGCCGTGTCCTCAAACGTGGAAGTTGTTGTTTTTTTCTAAATTGTTTTGCGCGTCTAATAGAATGTGCACTGCCGATCGGCGACTCCCCCCCCCCCCCCCCCCCCCGGCTGTGTGGTGTGATTCTCAAATTGGCTCAAAAAGGTTAATTGGCGCTTGAGTGTGTGGGGCTCTTCGGAGGTGGGTGGAAGTTCGCTTTGATTTGGACACTGGTATCTGTAGGTCGTTTTAGTCCTGGAGTTAAAGGAAAGAAAGAAAATAAATACGGTGGTGTCGGCGGTGGGGGGGAGGGGTTTGTGGGCGAGCTTTTTAGTAATAGCCAGAATGATGCAATGGCCGGCATAGCTGTCAAAAGTGGTCGTGTCTTGTTGCGGGAGGTGCTGCTCACCCCAGCCTGGCGTTCCGTGGGGGTGCACTTAGAGGGGGGGGGGGCGGGAGCTGAGATGTGGAACGACTTGCTGAGCGCCAACACAGGAGCGTCCCGAGAGAGAGGGGCTAGCCGTCACATCATCCGTCAGCTCGCGTTGAGCGCCATTATTGACCACTCCCGTCTAACGCAGCAAGTGTGCAACGGGCGCCCTTCGTGTCAACCCACTGCGGGGCTCCGTTTGACCGCGCATCGCCCGCGCCGGCCCGGTGTCGGGTTGGCGAGGTCGCGGGAGCGTAGAAGTACGGCACAACAACGGAAAAAAACCCCGCTTGCGACGCTCGACGATTATTCGGAGGCGCGGGTGGCGTCGGGTGGCACTTCGCGCGCGCGCGGCTGGGCTGGGTGTCGGTGAAGCCACGTTGGCAACTATGGGGTCCGGCCAATGCGTGCGAGTGGGCTGATTGGACGCACTGGAGCAGCAGCAGCAGCAGCAGCAATGGATGTCACAGGTGGCTTTGGTCAATGCACACGCATTGTCTTCATGGCAGGGGTTAACCTCTCGTATACGTACTCACGTGTGCCGGAAATAATAAAAGAAGCTTTGTGAATTCCCAACGCGGCGCCTGCGTCCGTCTCCGTTGATGAATGCACGCGAGACAGTCGACCCGCGCACACCCACCATGCTGTCGGGCGATAGTTGCTCGGGTGATGTGTGTTGGCGCACTGGGCGTGTGGCATTACAAACTTAACGGTAACACATTACAGCTCAAAGAGAGCTGCCTGCCGTGGTGTCTATTTTATCAGACACGCTGCGCTTGCAATTCTATATAGGCTTGTGGAATTCTGAGGTTGCCGCTTCACTTCCATCCACCGATGCATTTGCCTTCGACCCCTCCCGGCTCTGTCGACCCAGCAGCATTAAGAGGTTCAGCGCAGGCCGTCAGTCGATCGGCAGGTCCCGTGAGTTGGGGTAGAGCGTGGGTGCTCCAAGACGTCTGGTCTGCGTGGAGAAGTCGCAACAACAACAACAACCACCACCGCCACCTGGACGGGCTCTCTCGAGCTCTCTCAAGCGCAGTGTTCTTCACTCATTTTCGGAGGGGGCGGGGGGGGGGGCACTTTCGCCGATAAGACATCGTCAGTGTGAGGGCCGTTTCATATTTGAAACCATTGGGGTTTGACAGCACGACGACGATGATGATGATGATGGGGGGTGTTCACACGTGTCGTGTATTGTCAGGGGCCGCACTAAAGACCACCAGGCGCCATCAGTGGCCCGCGTGCCATGCAATGGCCCTTCCAGCAGCAGTGGCCGCGTATTTCTTTACTCAAAACTTCACTTCCGTAACAGCAATGCATCCAGCGATTACGATATGCAACGCTTGCTTCGTTTATTATTTTCAATGCGTTCCGATAACAATTTTTTTCAAGCTTAAAGCTTATTATTTGTTTTTTTTACCGTGTAAAGTGCAACAGACGCTCGGGGAAAAAAAAAACATCCAGGAAACGAATCGTCATTTAATCGAACCAAGAAAATCCTCACTTGAGACCCAAGGCTCCTTTGCAGGAGCTTCCTCCATTTGGTGATTTGCCCGATTCCTGCTGAGCGGCGCGTTGCGTGAGCCAGGGCCGGCAACCCCAAGTAACAGGAAGTGCCGTTTTATTTTTTGCTCGAATTCGGTGAAACAAAAGCAAAAAAAAAACCTCCTGCAATATTTCAAGAGCCCGCAACGCACTGTGGTGCATTCGAGACGGCGGTTCACTGGTGAAGAACGTCGTGAAGCAGTCCCCCAAAGAGGGCGAACGACGCTCCGGAACCGCAGGTTACCCGAGCCCCTGCGCGCATGGTTAAACAAAGCGATCCGAGTCCCGAGTTGACTTCGCTTACACAGGTGGCAAGAACTGCCGACACCAGGAGAGAGTCTCCTTTTTTTTGTTTTGGATCGACAACATTAACAAATGGACGACTGGGGAATGCAATAGGAAAAAAAAACCCACTCCAATGAAATAGCAAATACTCAAACTCCACATGTGGCATGCCATGCCATTCTGTAACCGACGGCATAGTTTTATCAATGCACTGCAGTAACACCACATGCGATAAACCCCACGTGGTGATGTACCTATGGGCAATAACGTTACACCACGTGGCTAATGTCAACGAACCATAGACTCACGTCGCCTCGTTCACCCTCTTCCCTCAATAACCATCGGGCAACCGATGCTGCCAAATGCGCAGATAACTGAAACAACAAGCTCATCGCGAGTTAAATACACATACAGTGTGCGGGTAATTCTGCACATTTCTGCTTGTACAATGCACGCATTAATACCCATATCCATATGATGTGCAGATGTGTGTGACCGTATTGATTGCAGGAGTCCAGCCAAGAGTGATCACTGCACACATGCAAACCTCTCCATCAGTATTCTGTCAAGAAAAACAATGAATTTTTGTAAGGATCATACCCCGTGACCAAATAACTCAGAGTGCGCCCTATCTCGTCAGATCTCAAACATCAAAAGCGAGGTGTGTGTACTGCAGACTACACACTGGCTGTTATGGCAACCGCTCTTAGCGAGCACCTGTGAAGGCTGGAACGGCAGACCACGACTACAGCGGGTGGTGTGGCTAGAACCATGTCCGGCCGCCTTTGTGTCTAGCCACACACAGCGCCCGGTACTCATTTAAGGCTGAGTCGACCTAGGGGGGAGCCCCAGCACGGGTTTAACATCATCATCAGTGTCGATACTGACAACGGCTGGGAATCGAAGGCACATCACTGGATTCGTAGCACAGTTCGCTAACCCCTGAGCCGCCGCTCCCCTTGCACACCGCACAATGCACACACGCAGACAACACTCCACACACTATACACTGCAGGCAACCACACAAGACTGTGCCATTGCAAAGCTGCACGATGAATTATTGAACAAATACATTAGCGATTAACCAACGGTGACATCTGCAAGTCGTGCTCCCTTTGCTGCAGTTGCCAGCAGCTGTAGTAACTGGGTTAGACTTTGGATCAGCAATCTCACATTGGATATGGGCTCCCTAAGTGGAGTAATTCGATATTTCACACCTTTTTCCCCCTCCCGATAGACAAAAGCACGTGATCTCGAATTACCAATGTCAGCCAAACCTGCTTTCGTGTCAACTTTACCGCACACAAAAACAGGACCGGATCCCCATTGAGCCTTCATCCGGATTCTGGGTTGCCCAACCACACCCAGGGGGATGGGAGGTGGGGGCCTCACCTGAGACGTGGCTCCCATTCACAGAGCCCGCGGCAACGCTAAGGACAGGTGGGGGATCAGCCCAGTGACTTCTGTCCTTCGAATACAACAACGCAGCACATCGACATCATCACGATCGTCATCATCACTGTCGTCATCATCATTGTCATCATCATCATCACTATCATCATTCGACTGACGTATTATTTAATTGACCATTTTTCTTGTATATCTGGTGCTCTAAACTGTGTAAAAGTCACGTGTAAAAGCATTCGCTAAATAAATAAATATAATTCAGCCATCATCATAGTCATCATCGTAATCGTTGTCATTGTATTCACCTTCAACGTCGTAATCGTCAGCATCGTTGTCGTCACCATTGTCATTACCATCGTAGTCATGATCATCGTAGTTCATCAATGTCGTCGTGATCATTATCATGGCTATCATCATCATCCTCCTCCTCACGTTCATCGTCGTCTGTGTCATCATATTCATGATCGTCTCCAATCGTCACCATCATCGACGTGGCGCATTCAATCTCAACACAAATATCATTCCCCTAAGCTCCTTGAGATCACGTGCAGTGTCGAGAAAACTGTTTTGCAACGATCGCTTGATGAATAATTATCACTTTGCTCTGAACCACCCAGAATGTCGGGTTAAGTGCGGGCTGGCGAGTGGCCACCACACACGTGGTGGCCACGCATACGAATCATAAGCCAGCACTCTGGGGAGCAAGGCGTTGGCGGATCACGTAAAGACACAGCTGGTCTGCGAGGTGGCCTTGAGGTCGCCAGAATCCCAAGTGGGTTCGTGAACTCATCTGTGTGGACTGTTCGATGTTATCTCTGTGTACGTGCGACAGTGCTTCCCTTCAGACTCCCTCTACACATTAACTTTATTTTTTAACTCATAATTTACATTGGCCAAGCATCCCAAATGCAAGAACATCACCAAAATAATGGTAATATCCGTTGAAGCCTCTGTGGTTAAATACATGGCATTAGTGTACAACAAGAAAAACACAATTAGTAAATTCAACAAACTAATAATTGAATTACAGTTTGTGACTAAATCACACGGGACTGAGCCCCAATATCATCAGATCTCGGGAAGCTAAACAGTGGTTGAGCCTGGATAGTTTTTGGATGGGCAGCCACCATATATTGTTCTGGAGACTGAAATAGGGGGGGTCACAAGACATCTGAACCACGCTGCAGAGCTGATACAGGGGGCTACGTAGTGCTCCACCATCGATGCACCCCACTTGCACCGAACAGCACCGACCAGCCTGGTGAAGTATGGCGAGACGCAGCTCCCACGCCCCCCCCCCCCACCTAAACTCAGCTTGTGAGTTCCGTGACCCCATCAAGCCACTGAAGGCCACCAAGTCCACCAAAGTACGTTAAACGAAACGCAAATCTTCGCGAATACCATTGCCACCGCAAACAAACAAACGACAACAAAAAGACTCGAGAAATTAAACGCAGCGCCACGTAGTGTTCGTAAACATTGACGTCCGACCTCACTACGAAAAGTTGACAATTTCATCGAAACCCACCCCAGGGTATTAAATAAATCCCTCCACGCGCGCCCGGCCGCCCCCAATGTCTGACGCTGTAGCACCGTCTGGTGGGACACGTGGGGCAACTGCAGCCGCGCGTCACCCCCAACGCACGCCGCGGTGTCTCGCGGTGTCGCGGGGCAGAGTCGGCCCCCACGTTCAAGGACCCTGGGAGACTCCGGACATCCCCGGTCAGTTGGGAGATTAATCCGCAACGCTGAGTGGAGGGCCCGACGCTGCAGGGGCCCTAGCAGACCTTTCCACTCACTCCTCTTAACTACAGTGAGGGGAAAAAAGTATTTGATCCCCTGCTAATCCTGTACGTTTGCCCACTGACAAAGAAATGATCAGTCTATAATTTTAATGGTAGGTTTATTTGAACAGTGAAAGACAGAATAACAACAAAAATATCCATAAAAACGCATGTCAAAAATGTAATAAATTGATTGCATTTTAATGAGGGAAATAAGTATTTTACCTCTCTGCAAAACATGACTTGGCACTTGGTGGCAAAACCCTTGTTGGCAATCACAGAGGTCAGACGTTTCTTGTAGTTGGCCACCAGGTTTGCACACATCTCAGGAGGGATTTTGTCCCACTCCTCTTTGCAGATCTTCTCCAAGTCATTAAGGTTTCGAGGCTGACGTTTGGCAACTCGAACCTTCAGCTCCCTCCACAGATTTTCTATGGGATTAAGGTCTGGAGACTGGCTAGGCCACTCCAGGACCTTAATGTGCTTCTTCTTGAGCCACTCCTTTGTTGCCTTGGCCGTGTGTTTTGGGTCATTGTCATGCTGGAATACCCATCCACGACCCATTTTCAATGCCCTGGCTGAGGGAAGGAGGTTCTCACCCAAGATTTGACGGTACATGGCCTCGTACATCGTCCCTTTGATGCGGTGAAGTTGTCCTGTCCCCTTAGCAGAAAAACACCCCCAAAGCATAATGTTTCCACCTCCATGTTTAACGGTGGGTATGGTGTTCTTGGGGTCATAGGCAGCATTCCTCCTCCTCCAAACACGGCAAGTTGAGTTGATGCCAAAGACCTCCATTTTTGTCTCATCTGACCACAACACTTTCACCCAGTTGTCCTCTGAATCATTTAGATGTTCATTGGCAAACTTCAGACGGGCATGTATTTGTGCTTTCTTGAGCAGGAGGACCTTGCGGGCGCTGCAGGATTCAGTCCTTCACGGCGCAGTGTGTTACCAATTGTTTTCTTGGTGACTATGGTCCCAGCTGCCTTGAGATCATTGACAAGATCCTCCCGTGTAGTTCTGGGCTAATTCCTCACCGTTATCATGATCATTGCAACTCCACGAGGTGAGATCTTGCATGGGGCCCCAGACCGAGGGAGATTGACAGTTCTTTTGCGTTTCTTCCATTTGCGAATAATCGCACCAACTGTTGTCACCTTCTCACTAAGCTGCTTGGCAATGGTCTTGTAGCCCATTCCAGCCTTGTGTAGGTCTACAATCTTGTCCCTGACATCCTTGGAGAGCTCTTTGGTCTTGGCCATGGTGGAGAGTTAGGAATCTGATTGATTGATTGCTTCTATGGACAGGTGTCTTTTATACAGGTAACAATCTGAGATTAGGAGCACTCCATTTAAGAGTGTGCTTCTAATCTCAGCTCGTTACCTCTATAAACACACCTGGGAGCCAGAAATCTTTCTGATTGAGAGGGGGTCAAATACTTATTTCCCTCATTAAAATGCAAATCAATTTATAACATTTTTGACATGCGTTTTTTGGACTTTTTTGTTGTTATTCTGTCTCTCACTGTTCAAATAAACCTACCATTAAATTATAGACTGATCATTTCTTTGTCAGTGGGAAAACGTACAAAATCAGCAGGGGATCAAATACTTTTTTCCCTCACTGTATGAGTCGTGATTCAGTCCTTCCCTGTAACTATGCGTCGTGAATTAGTCATTGCCTCTAACTATGAGTAGTGATTCAGTTCTTCCTGTAACTATGCGCCGTGATTTAGATCTTCCCTGTAACTATGAGTAGTGATTCAGTCCTTCCCTGGCGTCGTGCAAGGTCAAGAAGTCATGCTGAGGACATCCTCGCTCCGCCGTCTTCCCGCTAGAGTGCCCCCAGGACGGGTGCCGTAATCGCCGCACGGCACTCAACCCCCTGCTCTGCCGTGGCGGTCGACTGCGCGTACGCACGTTGAACTTCTTTCGCGCCGTACGTAGCCGAGCGCGCTAATCGGAAAGTGCGTTGGGAAAGACAACAAACCAAGACTAAAAAAAACGGCGAGAGGTGGCGTGTTCGTGTGTGGATTAGCGCCGTGGCAGACAAGAAAAAAGGTTGGACGTAGAGGACACGTGTGTTTAGAACTGCACAGATTAGCCAAAGCAAACCTTGCACGAGCCGCAGGAAGGCACTGAATGTCCCGGCTGTCCCATTGGGAAATCGCTCAAAAGTGAAACCAATGCTTAATGGGTGCTGCAAACTCTTAAGATAACTTTTATTGCAAAGCACATTTCTTGCATTCCTCCTTAAACCCCCCTGGACCTCCTCCTCCCCCACACACTCCTGGGTCGTCACTCTCGATAGAGCTTCTTAGCTCAATGGGCCCTACCCAGAGCGAACCAGAAACAGTGTAAACTCAACCGCATGGGGGGGGGGGACTAGAAACGGTGACGGTATTCATGAAAATTCACATTTTCACTTTATTTCGGGTTTGGCGCGAGCAGTCACAACCGAATAAAGTTGAAATGTAAATTTTACTCGAGGCTGCAGAAACATCAAATCGAAAGTATGTATTCATGATGCATGCTTGCGGAGCGCTGTAATGTGGAGGTTGTACAATTCACGGTCCCTTTTGCCAATCCACTGCTGGATGAAGGCCACCTCACATCACGCCCGTTCATGGTTGGTTGTTTGACCATACTTCACCGTGCTGGTCACAGTGGCACTTGGTGAAGGTTGGGGGGGGGGGGGGGGGGGGCGGCCCAGGATCGGTTCGGATATCACTCGCCACCTGATGTTAGCCATGGCCGGGAATCGAACTCAGGTAATAGACCTACTCGCTCACCTGCATGTGGCATTAATGTTATATTCTTTCCCGTTCCGAGGCGTCTGCCCCGTTCACCGCTGAATCTCGAAACGCGGAAGTGGTTAGCGTTAATTTTATTTAGAGAGGCATAGCGCCTCTGTTTTTTATAGACATTTTTGCTCACCGCAGAGAACTGTAGCGACACCACCGCACGCTACGATAGCTGGCACCAAGCTGTGCCACACGCCCTCCCGCCAGGCCTTTTTACTTCCGAATCAGAAGTAAAATTGATGACGTACACGCACGTCATGGGAATGGGAAAGGGTTAAATTGCCCCACGACACTGAATTGCATTGAGACGGTTGAAGGCGCTGCTGCATCCTCAAGTCTCACTCGCTTGGGACGGAGTGACAGCATGAGCACACCAATGATGACGATGGCACGCGTTGGTCGGGAAGCTCCGTGTTTATTTCAAACGTGTGTCTGTGTTTGTAAATCAACACTCGTCATTTCAGTC